TGGCTTCGCCGGAGTGGGCACGGGGAGGCTGCGGTTCCCTCCGGGCCGCCCCACACCGCCCCCCCCCACCAGCACACACGTGTGCACGTGGAAATGCTGCTGATGCCACGCTCTCCTCTGGCCCCCGACTCCTTTGCTCCCCAGAAACAAGGAGCAGACAAGGGAGGCTGGTCCGTGCTCAGGGTCGGCCGTGTCCCGCTCCCGCGCCCCCTCCTCCTGGACCTGGCGGGTCACACAGCGCCCCGCTCAGAGCCTCCCCTGACGTCCCTCCTGCAGCTGGGCTGCCCGAAGGCCGGCCTCACCGACCCCTGCTCACCCCCTGGGTGCAGGTCCTCGACCCTGCGCTGAGCCCACTGGCTCTGCCCGTGCAGGCCTGGCCCTTCCTCCGACCAAGCAAACAGGTTGGTCCCGCCCCCTCCCACCCCCCCCAGGCTCCATGTCTGCCGTCCCCTCAGCCCAGCTGGCAGCGGCTCCTCGGGCCCCTGGCTCAGCTCCAGTGCTTGGCAGCATGCTCTCCACCACCTGTGCTCTCTGCTGAAACCACGTGCTCCTTTCTTGTGGCACACGTATGTCACATGTGCATGCACCACGCATGCTCTCTGAGAGGCACAGTAACCCGTGCAGGTCACACAACCTGCAGCCAGTGGGGCAGGACCCGACCCAGGTCCTCCGGGCTCTGAGGACACCATTCCAGCACCAGACTCAGTGCCTCCTCCCCCAGAGCTTCGTGGGACCTCTGCCCAGCCCTCTGGTCCGGCCCCTCGCTCGCTCAGTGGCCTCGGGCAGGGGTCCCACTTGCCCGGGAAGTGAGGGCTGAAGACCTGGCAGCTGGGGAGCCCAGAACTCTGGGAGGGAGGCAGGGGCGGGGCGGGGCAGGTGGTGGGAACAGGAGGCCGTCTGTCCATCCCGCTGTTTGTAAACAGTGTCCTGACGACGCGGGCCCCAGGGACCGCGGGCCGGCGCCCTGCCAGACCGGCGCTGCCTGTCACGGAAGGTGCGGGCACAGAGGAGGGTCTGCCCCAGCGGCCCAGCTCCTCAGCCTCCTCGTTCCCTCCCCCCACCCACTGTTATCTCTCCCAGGAGAGGTTCTTTACAAGGCCGACTGGCGCAGATGCAGGAGCGAGGTCTGCACGGGAGCCTCACGTCCACTCCGCCCTCCGGTGTCTCCGTCGGTGACCTGGGGCTGCTGGGGCCCTTCCCACTCACAGGCCCGGTCACCGGTCCCAGGAGCCCGCAGCTCCGCTCACGGTCCTCCCCACCCATGGGTGCCCCCCAGTGGGAGGGCTCGGGGAGGGCGGCCCTGGACCCCAGGCTTTTGGTGGCCACATCACAGGCACTCGCCAGCCCCAAAGGAGCGGCCACTCTGTATCCAGACCCTCCCCTCTGACCAAGAAGACGGCGGGGCCATCCCGACGAGCCTGGGGGTTACTGCCCGGCACCTTGCTGGCCGTCTGCGTGGGCAGCCCCCCAGTGTCAGCATCTGGCCCCGAGCCCCGCCCCCGGGCTCTGCCCGTGTTCTCGCCACGCGGGCACATGCGTGCAGACTTCACGAGCAGGACGGCAGCCCTGCCCCCGGCCTTCTGGGCCTCCCAGCACCAGCGGGCACTCCGGTCTCCCAGGAGAGAGGGGCCGGGGTCAGGCAGACGGGATGGCTGAGGGCTTTGTCCCCACTGGGGCTCTGCTCAGATGCGCCTCCTCCTGCCTCAGTACAGAGACCCTGAAGCCCCCAGCCTGCGAGATGCTGGTAGCAGCCTCCCCCCACTCCACCCTCGTCAGTGGGAGGCAGACCGGACCCCTGACCACCGACAGCCCCCCACCGTGGAGCCGCGTCCTCGCCTCTCTCGGCCTGCACGGCCTCCCTCCCTCTGCACTTTGACCCTCGCCGGGCCCTGCTTCCGCCTCCCCAGCAGCCTCCAGGGCCATCGTGGGTGTGGACCCATCGGGTTACTCCCCTTAGTCGGGGGCTGTGCTGCCCAGGGCAGCCACCACCAGGGCCCAGCAAGGGGCGATGGAGGGAGGGCTTGGGCGGGCAGCCTTGGCCTACGCTGGGCCATGACCTGGGACGGGAGGGGGAGGTGGGGGTGAGGCTCTGAAGGCCAGCGAGCAGAGGGGAAGGTCGAAGGTCGGCGGGCTGGAGGGGTGCTTCTGGTGACCCTCTTGGGTTTACCCCAGGGGGCACCCCAGCATGGCCGCCTGCTGGGCCCGCCCCCCCCCCCCTGCGCAGGCGCTAATCCCCGCCTGGTAGCGCAGGAGGAGCTGGGAAGGAAAGAGGACACAGGAGTTGACCCAAAGAGGATCCGGTTCCCGAAACCTGAGCCAAGGACAGGGTTTCACCACACCGTTGGCGGCACACCTGCCCGGGGGCTCTGCCTTCTACCCAGGGGGGAAGGACCAGGTGGACCCGCTGCTGCGAGCGGGGAGCTCTGCCCCTTTAAGGGGTGGAAGGGAAGCCAGGGGTCCGCTCCGCCAGGCCCCACCCCGCCTCACCTAGACCCCTGCTACCCTTCCTGCTCCAAGCAGAGGCTGAGAAAGAAAGAGGTGACAGCGAGGTGCCCTGCTGGGACAGGTTGGTGACGGGACCCGTACAACAGGTGTGGTCCTGACCCACCCGGAGGAGGCAGGGCCTGAGACCCCCAAGGACAGAGGAGCATTGATCTGGAGGGGTCTGGGGTGGGGGTGGGGCACACATTCACGACAGAGGTCCCACCCCCACAGCAGAGCTGGAGCATGAATCTCAGGGATCCTCCTCCCCCGGGAGACCCAAGACACATATTGGTTTCTGTTTATAAAGGAACTAGCACGGCCCTGGCTGGTGTGGCTCAGTGGACTGAGCGCCAGCCTGCGAACCAAAGGGTCACTGGTTTGATTCCCAGTCGGGGCACATGCCTGGGTTGTGGGCCAGGTCCCCAGTGGGGGGCGCTCGAGAGGCAACTACACACTGATGTTTCTCTCCCTCTGTTACTCCCTCCCTTCCCCTCTGTCTAAAAGTGAATACATGAAACTATATAAGAACGAGCACAGAAAAGGTCGGACACCCAGAGAGTGGGGACTCTGCCTTGCCCCCACCCCGCAGGCGAGAGGCCCCTTCCCCAGCCTCAGCCAGCTCAAAGCCGAGTCCTGGGTCCCCTCAGCATCCCAGGGACAGGTCAGTGCCCTGTCTACAAGAGGATGGTCCTTTACCCAGCGCAGCATCCCCCGGGCCTCGTGCCGCCTGAGAGGGACTAATGTCGGTCCTTGACTCCCAGGCAGGGCTGCTTCCCCCGACCCCCACCTGCTTTTAGTCATTTTAACCGTCTTGCAGAGACGACCCTCTGGCCTGTGGCTCGGCACACGCCCGCACCCTGCCAGCCTCGCCACCTCCCTGGGCCCTGGGACTGGGGAGGACAGCCGGTTGCCACGAGGGAAAAGTGGCCCTGAAGGTGTCTTCTACGGAGGATGTTCCGTACTCGCACACACACAGGTACCCGCCCCCGGCTCCCTGCCCCGGCTGTCTGCGCACACAAGTGTGCTCCTGGGTGGACGGGAAGGAGGGCTGGTGGGAGCAGCTGCGTGCCACGGTTCTGACTGGCTGCGGACAGAGGCTTGGGAGGGTGAAACTTCCAGAAGGGCAGTCCCTCGCCGGCTCTCGTGTTGGGAAGGAGTGGCAGCTGTTTGACTTCAGTCTGGGGGGCATCCCTGTGGGGACCGGAAGGCCCTGGGCACACAGGGCCACGGCACGGAGCCCGAGGACTGGGGGGAGCCGGGGCCCAGCTGCAGAGGGAGGGGGGGAGAGCTGGCCCGGCGGGGAGTTTGGAGCCGGGTGCAGCCTTGGGGTTCGCTTCCTCTCCTCCCTGTGTCTGCTGACCAGGCCCTGACAGCAGGGCCCTCGTGCCTCTCATTGCCCTCACCTTTAGGGTTCGCTCATTGTTTTCAGAAGCAGCCGCCTCACCCAGAGGACAAGGGATCCTAGCTCCCCAGTCTCCCAGCTTCTTGGCTTAACTGCAGCCAGGGCGGGGGGGGGGGGCGGGGGCGACGCAGAGTCAGAGCCCCGGGCCCGCTCCCTCCCCTTCCCGCGGCCCCTCCCCCCACTCCTGCATCTCTGCATGTGCGCGGACCCAGGGCTGCGGCCACAGCTCAGTGACCAGGTCCTGGTCCGAGGCCTCTTGCCCAGACAGACGTTCCAGAGAAACTCGGCCCTTCTCAGTTTCTATGTGAGAATGAACTTGACGCAGAAGCTCTGAGCCTCAGTTTCCATGAGAACGGAGGGGGCTGGACCTTTCTGGCCAGAATTCACAAGCGATGGATAACGTGGGAGGGGCCAGCAGTGGGTGCTGAGTGGGGAACCAGCCCTGAGGGACAGTTGCCCCTGGGGACAGGGGACCCTGCGGAGTCCTCCCCAGGTGGAGTGAGCCTGGTGTCCCCGGAACAGTCACAAACGGATGGAGAAAGAGAACCCCAGCCCAGGATGATGCTGATCAGCTCTGCTCGCACCCACCGAAACGGTCACTGTCCCCTCCTGAGGGACATGCTGCCGGAGCCACATTCCTGGCCCAGCAGAGGGGCCCTGGGGCTGATAAAGCCCTGACTGAAGGGGGGGCTCCTCTGGAGGCTCCCCGGGAAAGTGCAGTCCCCCACTCTTGGGAATGACCTGAAGCCGCACCCTCCTGCCTCCCATGGCTGTGGGAGACCCGCCCGCCCCCAGCGCCCTCCCCAGAGCCCGAAGGCTTAAACACTGGCCGCTCTTCGCTGGGAGGGCTCAGCCCTCGCTGCCTGGCTGGCCCGAGACTGGGAGCATCCTTGTCCTCCGTCCCTGCTCTCTGCTCTGCCCACAGCCCCTCTGACCCCCGTTCCACCAGCATCTCTCACCCCTGCTCCTACCAGAAATTGGGGGAGACAGCCACAGCGCCAGCTCAGGCAGGGTGTCAGAGTCCCCATCCCCGCCCTTGCCAAGTGCGACCCCTGGCCTCCCGCCCTCCGCCCTCCGCCCGCCCGCCCACCCGCTGCAGTCTCTGCTCACTCACGTCCAGGGACAGCTCCCTCTGCAGAAGTTTCTTGGTCTCCTTTTCGCAGAAGCTGAGCATGGCCTCCCGGTCGTAGGCGCCCGTGGACGGCTTCTCCGTCTGGCTCCGCTGCCGCAGCCCCACGGGGACGCTGCCGTCGGGGTCGGCCACGTCCAGCTCCCTCTCCAGCTCCTCCATCTCCTCGGGGGACAGGGTGGACAGCAGGCTGTCTATGTCAGGGTCCTCGCTCACCTGCCGGCGGTACTTGGCTACCTTGGACATCTTGGCAAAGCGGCGGCGGCAGTCCTGGCAGGCGGAGGCAGGTGGAGGGTCAGGCCGGGGTGGACACAGCACAGTGGGCTTGGCAGCAAACCCTGGGCTGCTGAGGACGGGCTCCCGGGCCCTGCGCGCCGCAGGTGCTGGGCTGTGGACTGGGAGCGAGGCCTCCCGGGGCGTGGGGCTAGTGGGCCAGGCTGGTCCTCCCGGCGGCCAATCGGACCGAGCCACTGCCCGGCCCTGAAAGGGGAGGCCAATCCCCCAGCGGGGGCGGGCCTGCCTCGCTCTCTGAGCAGCTTGAAACTTGAGGACATTCCAGGGAATCTTGGAGCGCGGTGTGACCAAATTTAGTACAGAGCATTTAGCCTTTTAAAGACAAGGGGACCACGCGATGAGAAAAAGATGCAAAAATGCAGAGGCCGGCAGAAGCGGATCGGAGCCAGGGAGGGCCAGGGAGAGCCAGGAGAGCAGGCCGGCCCTAACCCCGGGTCGGTGCCAGTTCAAGTGCACATTTCACACCCGGCCCCAGCCCCTCCCTGTGCGCCGTTGCCTGGACGTCCTGCGGCCCGTGCATGGCCCGCTGACCCCTTTTTCCTGTGTTTGGCCCTGCGGTGGTGGGCGGGGGCTCCCCGCCCTCTACAGCCCAGGAAACACATCCCGGTGCTGACCGTGCCGCTGGGAGTCTGGCCCTGCCCACCGCAGCCCCCGTGGACTTGGGCCCCTTTCTGGAGCTGAGAGCTGGTTGGCTGTTTGGGAAGAAGATGGGCTGCGCAGGCAGGAAAGTCGTGAAGGGCTGCGTTCCCACTAAGCGCCCAGGCTCTTGGGAAGGGAGTTCAAGCCCCCCTCCCTCCTCCCTTCGCGTCTGGGTCTCCCGGCGACGGGCAGGGAGCACCGAGCACGGAGGGGACCCGGCAGGCAGCCACGGGCATCCGAGTCCAGGGCACGACTCCCATGCCTTCAGGGAAACTTGACTCTGGGCTGCGGGGAGCTGTCTGTCCCAACGGCTCGGCGTGTGTCAAACAAGGGCCTTCCACCGCTGGCCCATCACGCCGCAGCGCAGGCACCAGACATTCAATATCCTGCCCCTCCCGCCTGCCACCGCGCCGCTTCGAGGAGCCCCGGTGTAACCCATCGGGGTGGATGCTTCGATCTTTCCTGGCGTCTGTCCATCCCAAGCCAGAGGCCGTCACTTGATCAGTACTTGCCGAGTCCAGGGATCGTCTGGGAGAAAACTTGGCACCGTGTTTCATGCCCACAGGCCAGCTCCAGGGGGAGGCCGAGAGGGGAGGGCGCTGGGCCTGCAGCGCAGAGGTGAGGCAGGGAGACCTGGGAGGAAGCGTGGGGGGAGGGCTCCGCGCATCCTGGGTCCTGAGCAGTGTGTCCCCGAGCCCGGAAGTGTCACTTACTGAGCGGCAGCCCTATTCTGACAGCCAGGCTGCCGCCAAATCAGAAAGTCAGCCTGGCTCGGCCTTTTCGGTGCTTCCCAGTGAACACTGGAGACACTTAATCAACCAGTAACTTCACAAAAGTTATCAAAACCTGAAAGTCTGCGTGGAAACCGCAGGGGAGGCTGGCAAGCAGGCGGGTTCTCCTGGAGACAGGCATGTGGGGATGCACACGCGGTACCTGACCCGAGTGCAGATTCGGAGAACAGGCGGTGGGGGGGAGGCCGTGGGGAGGGAGAAATGGGTGGCAGGACCCCCCTCTGAGTGATGGGTGGAGAATGCCGTTCAGCGTGGACAAACAGCGAATTACAATGTTGCACAGCAGAAGTGTAGTGATCCCACACACCCATCCTGACGGGACAGGAAGCAATGGCTCGGGCTCTCCAGGCTGGCAGACCCACGTTGGCTCCTCCTGTTGCTACTCACCAGCTTCGAGCGTGACTCTGGGCCAGGCACAGTCTCCTCTGTGCCTCGGCTTCATAGGCTGTAAAGTGTGAACAGCGAGCGGGTGTACGGACCTGGCTCAACTGGGACAAACATTAAATTTGAACATCCACAGGAAAGTCTTTGTGGTTATACCCGACGTCGGTAACCCCTCGGCCGTTATTCTGATGGTCCCTGTCTGCTCTCGCCCGCTCCGCTTCTCCCTGCCTCGCCCCCTTCCTCACCTTTCCCCTCCTGTCCTTCAGCTGCCACGCCCTCCATGCACACACACGCACACTAGGTTCTGCCTGGTTCTCGCTCACTCGTGCGGCCTTGATTCAGAGACTCTGTGGGTGCACAGCACCCTGCCCTGCACTATGGGGAGACATACAAAAATAATGATGTGGTCATTGTCGCTTATTTATTTAATTTTAAAGGTTTTATTTATTTATGTTTAGAGAGAGGGGGGAAGGAAGGGAGAAAGCAAGGCAGAGAAACATCGATCGATTGCCTCTCGTTATGTGCCTGGACTGGGGACCAAACTCAGGCTTGTGCTGTGACCAGGAATTGAACCAGTGACCTTTTGTTTTGTTGGATGACGCCCAACCCCCACCCCCCCAGCCACTCTGGTCAGGGCTGATTATTGGCTTTTAAATGTGTAATTTGCGGGGTAAAAAATAATTACACTGAAGTCCAAGTGACGCAGGAGGGGTAGAGGCAGTTGGTAAGAGCCCAGCGGGGGACACACCAGCTCTGTGGGAGCTGGCCTGCAGCGGGCTTCGACACACTGGGCGGAGGGCGTCTCCTGCGCCCCGCACCCCTGCTGCTGCCCCTGCTCAGGCTCCCTCCTGCCCAGAGGAGCTTCCTACAAGAAGCATCGTCTTCCGGATCCTTGGCTCCAGGGACTGCCCCACCCAACCTCTAGTTCCCTCTCAGCTGAGAACAGCTCTTTCCCCAGCATCCAAGGACTCTTCCTTCTCAGGATTTTTGCCAAAAATGTTCACTCCTCCTGAAGAGGAGTCAGGGCCTGACTCTTCTCAAGCCCCCCAACCCCCGGCCCCCCGCAGCCTCGGCAACCTGTGGTTTCCCTTGTTGTCTTCTGGACTCAGCAGTCCCTGCACCAGGGGCGCCCTCACAGACAGGCTCACAGCTCCTAGGCTGAAAGAGTGGGACTCAGGCCTCCCACCCACGTTCTGCACGTCACCCCCGGCATCTCCTCTGCTGCAGACCCCACAGCTCCAAGCAGTGGGCCCTTCTGGTTTGACCCAGTCTGAAGCTTTCGCTCCTTTGAGCCCCAGGGCCCCTGCCACAGCTCACAGGCTCTCCACATCTTCCCTCTGAAGGCGCCACAGTGGGGATGGACAGTGGGGCTGGACAGTGCGGGAGCCCAGAGCCCAGGAGTACACCTGCCCCCCAACCCCAGCCCCTGCAGTGAGGGGCAAAGGTCATCCAAGCTCAGACCCCCACTTCCACTTGAAACAAGTGCATGTTGGAGGTCGGGAGTTTCTGGCATGGCCTTCTCCACAGAGAAGCTCTTGCTGTTGTGCTGGAGGGTCGGGGGGACAAAGCAGGGGGGAAAGGGAGGGGAGACCCCAAGCTCCAGCCAGAGCATAGCGCCTGTGCGGAACTACTGCTGAGGGCGGTTCTCAGTGGGGCTAAATGCCCCCAGAAAAGTCACACTTTCGGGAACGTAGGGTGGCAGATAAGGCCACAGGCTCTGGAGTCAAATGACAAGGACTCGGACTTGAGGTATGTGACCTTAAGCCCCTTAGGGAGCCTGTGTCTTTGGTAACAGGCAGTGAGGATGTGGCGCGTTCCCACCCAGAGGAGAAAAGGACCAAAAGCTCAGGGGTGTGGAGGCATAGTGTGGATGAGGGGTCAGCACATGCCCAGCACGGAGCACAGCACCAGGCACACCCTGTGCTCTGGCAATGGCGCCCCACTGGTTCCCTGCTGGGGGGGTGGGGCGTTTCTCTGCACAGGGCCGCTGCCTGCCCGGCCTCCTGGAAGACTGGACACAGGGCAGAGAGTTCTGACACGGAGCCCAGGCAGAGGAACAGAAGGGCTAAAAAGGGAAGTGGAGGGGGCAAGAGAGAGGAGACTGCTCACCGCGCCACCACAGCTGGAACCCCCTGCCCAGCAAACAGCCCCCCACACACAGTGGAGCCCCAGGCCCTAGAGCTGGCTGTGGGGTGCACCTTACTTGTCCATGACAGTTGGGGGAAGAGGGCCAGGTGGGACTGGGGGTTTGGAGCCACAGTCATGGCCTGTGACCTGCTGGGGTGGAGCTCTCTGGGCCCCCAGTGCCCTTGGGTCACGGGACCTCCAGGGTAGAAGAACAAGGTCCGGGAGGGGGGGAGTCCAAACGTCTACGCCCCCCTCCTATGAAGGCGGGAAGAAAGATTCCTAGTTCTCTAGTCACTCACGGTTGCTTTTCTAGCACATTCCTCTAAGGCAACATTGATGGAGGCTTCGTGGGAGGCGATGCCTCCGGATGATGGAACCCACGATATCAATAGCACAAACAGTACTGCAAATGCGTCCCCCCTTCCAGATGAGTTTCTCGTAACACTGCCTGTTCGCTAGCTGCTTCATGGTGGGAACGCCGCGCAGGGCGCTAGGGGCCCGTTTCTGTCCACCCTATCAACAGTGACGTTGGGGGGAGCAACCGTTACACCCGGCGGACGACTCCTGCAGGAGCTGGTCCAGGCGAACTTGGGCGTCTGTAGTCTTCCATTTCCTAAGGGCGGCCCGGATCGGAGCGGCTCAGACCCTCTGGGGACAGAGGGAGGTTGCGGTCGCTGCCCGTCCCGACCCCGGCACCTCTCCCGCGTCTGTGGGACCTCCCCCCACGTTTCAAGCACCGGGACCCAAGGGCCACGTGACGTCGCTGAGAGATTCTCAAGTCGAACTGGGCGGCGTCAATCAATAGCCCAAACTACCAAGGAAGAGAAACGTGTCTGGGGAATTTGGGCACCCTGGTGGGACGACACCAGGATCCTCTCGAGGCACCACGCCTAGGTGACAGGGACTGGAACCCCTCGCCGCCGGCAGCTTCGGACCCTGTCGGACCCACCCTCCGGAGGACCGGGGCGAGGCCAGCTCAACTCTGTCGGGCTTCCATTGGCTGTGGGCGGAAGAAGCGAGCCAATCCCTACAGATAGTAACTCCCTCCTCTCAGATTACTTCCGCATCCGGGTCAGGCCCTGCCCCACTGCCCCGGCGTCTCTAGCGCAAGAGTCAAGATGGAGGAATACGCGCGGGAGCCCTGGTGAGTGTGAGCGGCGTCCTTACCCTGCTCCTGCCCGTCTGCCCTCTCGCTCCTCGGTCTCCAGGCTCCGAGGTCGTCGAGGCGGGTTCGGTGACCATGGGCGGTGCGGGCTTCAGCGGCCGTTCAGCTCCCTGGCGTGGGCCTCCAGCACCCAGCCCCCTGTGACCTTGTAGTAGGTGGAGAGGTCCAGGCTTGGGCTTGAAGCAGCCTCGGACCTGCCCCCACGCCGGCCCGCACCCCCGACCTTGTGCGAGTCAGTCATTGCCCCCGCTGCCCGCATCGAGGAGGGGCAGCCAGGCCTTGCGGGTGCCCTTTCCGCGGCGTTCATGCAGGGCTGCGCGTCCGCAGGTTGGAGCGTCTCTAACAGCCGGCATAGATTGTACCCGAAGGGTCTGGGGAAGTTGCGGTAAGCAGGAGCCTCGTTTTGGTGCTCGGAATTCTGGGGCGCAAGGAGGCAGAAGCTGTCCGGAGAATGTGCTGTACGGAGCCGCGAACAGGAGTCGGATCATTCGTTCGTTGAGCATTTACTCAGTGAGGGCTCTGGGCGCAGCATTTCGTTGGGTTCAGGCAGTAGAAGCATGAATAAGTCAGGCACGCAGACAGTCATTGTAAAGGGCAGGATTGCTGTCGAAGTCTCAGGTGGCCCGACTGTAAGGCTTCTGGGGTCATCGGCCAAAAATCAGACCTCACTATTTGGGCTAATCACCTTTTTTATTGTGTCAGCAGAAACCAAGGTATTTTCAAGTTGTGCTTAGCCCCCGCCCCAGAAATGGGGTGCAGGCTACCTGTTTCAGTACCTCCTAGCTCTTTATAAAATTCCCTTCTCCGGGGGAATTGCCCCCCGTCCTGGAGAGTGCGCACCAGTTACCGTTAGACATGTACAGGTTAACAGGAGGGTAAGTCGTCTAACTTTTGTGAATTAAAGATGTTACAAAAACAGACTCATAGATACAGAGAACAGACAGAGAGCTCTCAGAGAGGAGAGGGTTGGGGTCTGAGTGAAAAGGGCGAAGGGATTAAGCAAAGTTAAAAATCTCACTGACACACAACAGCTTGGTGACCAGAGGGAAGGGGGGTGGAGGAAGAAGAGGGTAAAGAGGGGGATAAATGGTGGAGACTTGACCTGGGGTGGTGAACACACAGTACAGTGTACAGATGTATTACAGGACCTGAACCCTGGATGATTTTTTAACCAGTGTCATCCCAGTAAATACAAAAAGGAAGATGTCCCAGGCATGATGAGTTTTCATCCGATTCATTAGGTGCCCCTTTGCTTTCTCCTGGTGCACTGGCCATGAAACAGTACAGCCAGTGTCCGGTCAGTCCTGTAGTCGGCAGTCACACTCTCTGGTCTTCAGCGTGGCCCCCTCTGGTGGAGCACTCTCTGTCCAGGTCCCCAGTGTGCATCTGCTGCTCCCCCCACAGCGCACCCCTGTCCCATGTAGTTGGAACCGTTCTCCAAAACCTCTGCCTTTCGGTTCCTGTTGCTGGGGTCTTCCCTGGGGTCCCCAGTGCCTCCTAGAGCAGCTTCCCGATTGCTTTCCTTTCCTCCAGCCCTTCTTATGACATCACATGGACTTAACATCCTGAGTACTTTCCTTTATCACTTTCAAAACCTCCTCAGTCTGTACGGTGCAGTGGGAGGGACCCGAGGCCTTGGCAGCACTGCGTGTGTGTTGAAGGTTCTTCGCTAGTTCTTACTGAGCAAGTCACTGAACCTCTGAGCCTTTGTCTGTAAAATGGAGAGGAGACAAGTGCTCTTGCAGAGTTAAAAGATTAGGTATCCTATGGGGGAATAACCTAGCTTTCTTGAAAATCCTGGGCTTTATTTGCATTACGAGGCACCTAAAACAGTTGGTACTTGTTAAATGATAACCTGTGACCTTGTCACTGTTGGGGCTGTCTGAGCTGTGCTTGTCTGGCACTCCCCTCCCTTAGACTCTGGCTTCACCCTCTCGTGTAGCCGTCACAGACGCCCCAGCAGGAGCGTTTTCCTGTGGCTGCTCTCTGGTCAGGGACTGTCCATCTCGCCTTGTGTTAGACGTCCTCTCCTGGAATGCGTGCTCCAGCCACGCTCTGGTCGGAAGCCTGCTGCTCCTCACGGAGACTAAAATGCTCATTCATTGCAGCCCCAGCGAGTGACAAGACCAGCACTTGGAGCCACGGACTCGTTCGGTCCTTGCTCTTTACTTCCTAACAGTGTCTCCACCATTCGAAAGAAATTGCACAGTTTTCCAACTCTCAAAGTGCAATCCGGTCGCCTGTGGACTCTGATCAGCAGGTCTGGGCGGGGGGAGTTGGACAGTCCCTCAGAACCCCAGAGGCTGGCCCTGCCACCTGCCACAGTCCTTCTGAGTGAGGTCCTGAGCTGCGTTGTACCAGAAAAGGACACCATGTTTTGACAGCAAGGTTTCCCTGTCTGGCGAAATCAGAAATTACTCATTATTCAAATTCCTCAGCAGCATTGAACACACCAAATTCACACGTTTACCGAGCAGATCATTCTTTGTTCATTATAGCATTCAACCCTTGACACTAGAAGAAAGAAAAGTCTTGCATTCGAAATGGATTGAAACTGGCCCCAGCTGGTGTGGCTCAGTGGATTGAGCACAGGCCTGCAAACCAGAGTTGCTGGTTTGATTCCCAGTCAGCGCACTGGCCTACGTTGTAGGCTAGGTCCCCAGTAGGGGGCACATGAGAGCACCCACACATTGATGTTTTTCTCTCTGTTTCTCCCTCTCTCCCCTTCTCTCTAAAAATAAAATAAATAAAATCTTTTGAAAGAATAGATTGGGAATGAACTTAAGTGTTCAGACTTTTTGTAAACCAGATTCTTAGACTTGTAGTGCTGGCCTCTTGGTCAGTGTACTGGGTTTCGGCATGTCTCATAAGTTAGGGCGCTGCCTGTGGAAGTGGGGTGCAGGTTTAACCTCAAATCACTGGACATCAGAGTTCGCAAGTGTGTGGAACAGACCTGATACAGACTGAAGTTCTGAATGTTGACTTGAATTTAATCAACCCTGAAAGAATTTCAAACTCTAAGAAATCTGCAGATTGGCCTTCCTTGGCACCTGCTGAGTCTTTGTTCGTTCAGCTTTAACAGTTCCTGCAGCTGGAAAGCTCACCTTGATCCCCGGGAGAAGGGGTGATGTGTGGTGACAGTGTGACTTCCCAGATTTGCTTGTTCTCTCCGCACGTGCCCAGCCTGCAGCGCAGGCCCGAGTGCTGTGTGGGGAAGCCAGCGTGCCCAGGACAGAGTCAGAGCCAGTTCTGTTCCCCTGGCTCCGAAACTGGGGCTGGACGCACACGTGCATGTGAGCGGAGCCCCACAGCTTCGTCTGCAGGTCCTGGGCCACGTGTGTGCCGGTTGCAGTGGACCCTGCTGGAATCTGTGGGGCCCGTCCCAGTGCTAGCAACGGTTTTGTGGTTTACGAAGGAGAAATAAGGTCTGTCTGTCTCCCTCCCCTGCTCGTAGCCCCTGGCGCATTGTGGACGACTGTGGCGGGGCCTTCACCATGGGCACCATCGGGGGCGGAGTCTTCCAAGCGATCAAAGGCTTTCGCAACTCTCCAGTGGTGAGTGGGTGTCTTGCGTTCTCAGCCCAGGAAGCCAACGTTTGCTCGAGTCACATGGCTGGTCAGCAGGTGGGAAGTGACCGTGCTGGTGATACATTTCTGCTTGCATTTTTACAGGGCATGAACCACAGGCTGCGAGGGAGCCTGACAGCAGTGAGGACCCGCGCTCCGCAGCTGGGAGGTGTGTGCCGCAGACGCGCTTCCTGCTCCGTGAGGAGGGGCTCTGTTTCCCTTCTCTCTTAGATCACGCCAGCTCCCGGCGTCAGTTCGTTTAACAGTTGTCACAAGTGAAGGCCTCTGGGCTTGTGGCTCCAGTTAAGTGAAAATTAACTGGAGTCGTTGCATCCGATTGGATAGCTTGGCTGTGCCTTCCACGTGCTCAGTGGTGTGCATAGTTCCCTCCTCCTATCCAGAGGGCAGCTGGGGGGCTTTGGGTCAGGTCTGTGCCAGGCAGGAGTGACAGCTGCCAGGGCAACAAGGCTGAAGAGGGCGTGCGATGAGGGCAGGTTTTGTGAGAGGTGCCGACTGAACGGACGGGCTCCTCCCCAGCTGCTGGACACCGCAGGGGTCGGTGCAGGTTTCCAGTCGCTCGTTCAGAAGCTGGGAGGTTGTGTCTGTTTACAGAGACACAGCCAAGCCGGAGGAGGACTGCCACCTGCCGCCGTTTCTTAGAAACTCTGTGTGTCAGAGAGAGTAGTCTCCTGTTTGTTTTTAAAACGCCCTTTCAAAGACAGCAGCTGATGCCACCCGTGACTGCGTGCCAGCTGTGTGCCGTGCTGCTCTGGGCGTCCCACAGCGCTGCCTCCGGGGGGGCACTGTCACCCCGTCTTGCAGGAGAGGAAACTGGGGCCCAAGGGTTGCGGCCATGGCGCCATGTCCCTGTCCTTCCCTCTGTGACAATCGTGCTGCGTGCTGGAGAGGAAGCAGTGGTTGATTTCCCTCTGGTTCAGCAGGCGGGTAAGCGGCGCGAGGACACGCCAGGCCCCGAGCCCCTCGCGTGCGCAGAGGTCACACAGGTCTGCGCGGGCTTCTGCGAGTTTCCTGAGAGGCCGCTTCCGGCACGTGGCGTTTTCAGTGAGTGGAGGACTGCCAGGCGGTTGTCACAGCCCAGAGGGAGCCCGGGGAGACAGGAGGACCCCGTGGGAGGCGGCTCCTGGGCAGAAGCCGAAGGTGCTGTGAGTGCAGCAGGGGCTTGAGCAGGTCGTGGTTGTCGCCTGAGCGGCCGGTGCCCCGTGGGCTGATGGGTGGGTTCCAGGGGGCGGCGTGGGCGTTGTCTGACCAGGGCTGTGGGCGAGACCCAGGGTGAGGGGGGGGGCAAGGACGTCGCAGCACGTGTGGGTGGGGACCGTTCGCTGTAAATCCGTGGGGTGCACCTTGTGAGGGACGTCGTCTCCCTGGAGCCTTGATTTTGAGGGGCTGGGGTGGCCCGTTCAGCGCGGCGCCGCAGGTGCTCACCAGGCCCTCCAGGTACGGTCCAGGGGCAGGCAGCCCGCCGGGGCCTTGGCCGCGTCCTGGGGGTTTCTGCCTCCACGGGAGACCGTGGGCTTCGGGCGGCCCTGTTCGTCTTAAGGTGCTTCCTTGCGTGTTGGGACGTGGTGCCCCAGGCGTGCCCTGCGCTGACTCTGCCCACCCAGCAGTCAGCCTCCCCGACCCCCGGGACCGGGTCCTCCCGGTGCAGACAGGTGTGGAGGGGCCGAGCGTGTCGTGCCCTCGGCGCTGTTTTTCTAGGCCTCATTGCACGAGGGCTTGGAGTGCTTGGGGGTTTCTCTGAACGCACGCTCACCACTTGTGCGGACACACCATTGTGCCTGTGTTTCTGTACCTCTGGCCCGTGCGTGTTGGGAGCCATGAGCCCACACCGGCTTCCCTGTCGTCTCCCTTTCCGCGAGACCTCCTCGGGCCCCGGCCCCCACACCAGCCCTTCCTCCACCTGGACGCACCGACGCCCCTACCAGGCTCGGTGGACCCTCCTCACCCCGCTTGGACTCGGGGCTCCAAGCCCAGTCATGGCCACAGCTCACTCCGGCCACTGTCCCTGGGGTGGGAGCATCTTGTGTGAGTGGCCAGGGAAGTGGCTCTCCTGTGCCCAGGCTTCACCGCTCAGCAGGGCACAGACTGCCGAGTTAGAAGGAAGGACTCGTTCACCTTCACGTGGCTTGTGTCCGACGAGGGGCTTCCGCTGCACTTCTGGTGGCAGCGCCCAGGCCCAGCTGGCGCTGGGAGACCTGGAAAGGGCCCCGCTGGTGACCCGCTGCGGACGAGTGGCGGAGCCCAGCCCCTGCCACCCTCAGTGCCATGGCTGTGCGGTCCCCAGGGTGAGGGATGGCGGGGCCCCAGTGTGGTGTCTCTGTCTTCTGTAGCCTCAGCCGGGGCGAGCGCGCTGCCTGTGGTGTGGCCCTGCGCTCAGGTTAGATGAGGGACAGGGAAGCCCAGAGGCGCCAGTTGTCCCGGGATGCGGACAGTCAGCGCCACGGTGCTGGTCTGGGTTCTGCGTGTGCGAGTGTGGGCGCATGTGGTGGGCCCGGTGGTCGCTGTGTTTTAGGAGAGTCTGCCCGAGGAGCGGAGGGGCCTGATGCAGGCGTGTTGGGTTTCACGTTTGAGGAGCACCGGGTGAGGAGGAGAAGGAATGGCGGTCTCTGTCCCCGGAAAGCTCCGTCAGTCCCGCTGCACCGACCCACGCCCGCTGGCGTGCACTGGCCAGTCCCAGGAGGGCTGGGCCTGCTGTCCCGACGGTGGTTCTCGTGGGACAGGTGCTCAGGGACCCTCGGTGAGGGACGGGGTGGGCGGCAGCGGGCAGAGCCCTTCGGGGCGGGGCAGGGAGTGGCGCCAGCCGAGGGCATTGGCTCGGACTTTTGCTGCGGCCCTGGCTTCCTCGGCAAGGGGGGTCTCCTGGGCTCTGCACATCCAGACTGTGTGGTGTGTGTGGGTTGGGGGGGGGGTTTTAAGAACGCAGTGAGTGTTATTTAAGCTTGTATTTTATGGCAGCACTTTAAGTGTAAGGTAAAAAACTAAAACCTTATTGTCTTTAAATAAAACAGGGAGCTTTGCTGTCTGGGGAGGCCTGTTCTCCATGATCGACTGCAGCCTGGTCCGGGTCCGAGGGAAGGAGGACCCCTGGAACTCCATCACCAGTGGGGCTCTCACGGGAGCCGTCCTGGCCGCCAGAAGTGAGCGCTGGAGGCGGGCACACACCAGCCCAGGGGGACCCTCCTCTGTCTTAGCTTGTGGGCTCCTGGGGCTCACACGGTGATGGGCGGAGCAGGAGGGCCTGCTGGGGCGCATGGGGGCGGGTGCCGGAGCTCTAACCGGGGCGCCTCAGTGGCTGAGGGCCTGCAGGTCCCGATTCCCGGGCCTCTTGCAGACTTGCTGTGCGCCCCGCTCCTGGGCCTCTGGGATTAGTCGTCATGCCTGTCTGGGGGTCGGGGGATGGATAAAGCACGTAGAACCACCTGCTGGGTCTTTGGGACGGAGGGCAGCCCAGGACTCCTCCGGGCTGGGTAGTGGAGGCGGGAGTGGCAAACGCTTTGTGAAGAGCCAGGCAGTGAGGGTGTTGGGCCTCGTGGGTCACGAGGTCCCCGTCTCAGCGCCTTGGCTCGGCCATCACAGCCAGAGAGCAGGCACAGGCCGCGCATGCGTGGGTGCACAGGGCTGTGCCCGCAGAGCCCTGTGGCTGTGAGTGCATCATGGGCTGCATCGGGTCTGGACCCCGGTCTCAGCCAGTGAGGAGGAAGGTCTCGGGAGGGGTGGCGGTCGTAGGCAGGTGGGCGGCGCTTTCCTCTACTGCCTGTCGCGTTGACCCTGATTTCTGCTGACGCCCTCTCTGTCGTCACCGCACCCAGACGGACCGGTGGCCATGGTCGGGTCGGCCGCGATGGGCGGCATCCTCCTGGCTCTAATCGAAGGGGCCGGCATCCTGTTGACGAGATTCGCCTCCGCGCAGTTTCCCAACGGTGAGTCTGCCTGCGGCCTGCTGGGCGTGAAGAGAACGTGTCCTTCCGCTCCACGTGGTGGTTTGTGGTGCACCGTGTGGTTACTGTGGGTGGGCTGCGGGCAGGTTCCACCCGAGAAGCGGGGCGTGGGCTCCGTCAGGCCCGACCCCCGTCCCTGGAGGGTGCTGGTCGGGTGCCTTGCTGCCCGGCTGCCCTCGGAGCCCTCGGCGGCCGGTGCTCACGCGCTCACTCTGAGAGGCGGCTGCTCGTTTCCAAGGTGCTCGAGGAAGGGCCCCGAAGATGGACAGCGAGAATGGTGGTCAGTCCACAAGTCGCCGCTGTCCACGTGCAGGCCGGGCCCGTTCTGGGTGCTGGGGCACCGGGGTGAAGGAGGACGCACCTCCCGCGGGGAGGACAGGCCACCAGGTTAAGGGCGAGGCGGGGTTATGTGACTGTGCCCCTTGCTCGGAGGGGTGGCGGGAAGAGACTCCTGTCTGGGAGGCTCACCTCGGGTTCTCGGGGGCAGGGCTTCTGCTGCTCGGGGTCCCTCCGACCGGGGTATCGGGACGAGTCCCGTTGCGCGCTGAGCCATCCTTGTGTTGTCCCAGGACGAGTGTCGGTGTGCCCCGGGCAGCTCCTTGTAGCTGTGGACGCCTGCACGGCCTCAGTGAGGGCGTCCGGGCGCTGAGGGAGCAGCAGTGCAGCAGCGAAACCTAGACCTGGCCCCTGGGGACGCCCGTGTGCAGAACAGTGAGACGTGCCGAAAATTATTTTTGGAGCTTGGAAAAGCTTCGCATAGAGCTGGGAGTAGATCACAGCCCCCAGTTTGATTTGATTTTCCAAGGCGCCTCGGCAGAGTCTGTGTCTTTGGGCAAGTGTCAGCCACCCTGCTTGTCGGTGCCCGGGCGTGGCCGGGGCCCCTCGCACGCACACCTGTTCTGGCCCCGCCCGCCGTCACTTCGGAGGTCTGACTCGGCTTCGCTGCCCACTCGCTAACTTGTGTTTACCACGTCAGAGCCGTGGACTCTGGCGCGCGGGCGAAGCCCTGCACACACCGAGGCGGAGGCGCCTCATGGGGGTTCGGCAGGTTCGTGAGGGAGTCCAGGCCCCAGCTCCGGTGGGCACGGCACTTCCGCTGAGTTGGTTGCCGTGCTTTCTACAGAGATTCCTCCTTGATTACACGACATTCGAGTGGTCTCTGAAGCTCTTCTCTCCTAACTGCAGGCCCTCAGTTTGCGGAAGACCCCTCGCAGCTCCCTCCCGCCCCGCTGCCCGCCTCGCCTTTCGGAGACTACCGGCAGTACCAGTAGGCGCCTCCGACGGTGTGCAGGCGCTCAGGAGCGGTTCCCGGACCGTCGGGTTGCGGACTGCTCCGGAGACCGTGGGTGGGACAGCCGTGGCCACACAGGCCACACAGAGACATCTAGTACTTTTTTCTATTTAAAGGAGCACGGGGTGGGGGCCTTAGGAGACGACCGCGTATTTATTTACCCAAGGACTGCGTCCTTACGGAAGACGCAGGGTGCCGAGGAGACGCAGGGCCCCGGGGGCCCGCCTCGCCCCGGGGACTCCCGCCTGCTTCGTGTTCTGGTGGCCACACAATAAAACTCCCGGGACTTGCTCCTTCTTTTAAGACAAGCCGTAGACTCCGCGTTTCCTCCTTGAGCCTGTCGGGGGTGCTGGGCCCGCCTGGGAGGGCGTCCGTTTTGTGTTCAGCCCCACAGTGGAAGCGGGTGGTGCGTGGGGGCCCCCGCAGTGGAGGCCTGGTGGTCTGCAGGCCAGACACCGCGGTACGTGGCTCGGAAGAGGCTCCCGGAGCCTCCTGGGCTCGCGTCCCCCCGCCCTCCATCAGCCTGCGGGTGGGGGGCAGCTTGAGCCCCTTGCTTTGCGTTGTGTCAGTGCTTTTCTCCTGGCCCCCTGGGGACAGGACCCGCCTTTGGTGACAGATGCGCAGCAGCCACCGAGCGGGCGGCCCTGGTCCAGGCCTGCGTCTGCACCCAGGTACGAGTCGGACACTTCTTCTGGAAACTCGTCACCAGTGATCTCAGGCACGCCCACGCAGTTTGGGGTTTGTCTGATGTTTTCCTGAGGTTACACATTGTGGGGAGGGTGGCCCTTCTGTGTCATGTCCAGGGCGATGGTGTCTCTGCATCGCCAGTGCCATTGACCTTGACCCCTTGATTACGGTGGGGTCTGCTGGCTTTCTTTCCTGTGAACTTACTATTTTTCCCTTTTCTAGTTACCATCTGGGGGAAGGATTTTGAAACTATGCAAATGGTAGACTTCTGCTCACGTTATTGCCCACTGGTGTGGGCATGTGGGGTCTCGTGGTGGTTTTCTGTTTTTCTCACGCCTTTCCTGTGGGCCGGCCAGAGCCGTTTGTGTCCTGTCTGCTCAGTTGTTCATGTCGGCACGGACGCAGGTTGCACCTGAGGGCTGCGACCCCGCACCGGGTGTGATCGCTCGCTCGCCTGGGGGTCAGACCGGCCGCCTCAGGAGCTCCATCTGCTCGCTCCTGCCCTTCCAGCGCTGCTGTTTGGGGAGACCCATTTTCGAGTTGTTAAGTCTGAGCGCAGGATGCACCGGCGCACCAGTCTCTGCCCTGCCCTGGAGCCGGCTTTCTCCAAGGGGCCCGAGTGCCTACGTTCCGAGAGAGCCATTTGGAAACCAGAATCGGGCCGGGTGTGCTCATGGCTGCTGCTGCTGGTGCCTTTGGGTGGAGACACCTGGGGAGGCTCGGGGCCCCGGGCACTGCACGCGCTCTGCCTGCCTCCCTCTGCCCCAGCTCGGCACTGCAGCACCCGTCCCTGCCGGCCACCTCTTACAGGTGACCGCAAGACACGTGACTCTCATCATCTACATTGACCAGTTTGTTTGTTCACTCTCAGTTACGTAGAAGGTGGTCGCAGAACCCGCTGGCACCGCTTTGGGAAACAGGGCTGCGGGCCAGAGAGCAGCGTGCCCGAGGTTTGGCCCAAGGTTTGTTGGCGTGTGCTCGGAACAGCCCCGAAGGCCCCTCGGGCTGCCCTGCCTGCCCTGCGGTTCCCGTGCGGCCGGGTCGCTCCTGGGACTCCAGTGTGCGGCAGGCCGGTCCCCATCTTTCTGCATCCAGTAGGTGTTTGAAGATGTGTGTCTGATGTCATCCACTTTTCGTGGTGTGCACTTCTCTGGAGTTGGACAGATGTGCAGACTGGTCACCGCAGTTTGAGTCACCCCCAAGTATTGTCAGGCCCCCCTTACAGTCAGCCCTTCCTTCTTCCCCCAGCGGTGGGTGGGTTCCCGCCTCTGGTTGTATCTTCTCAAGAGTGTCGTGTGAACGGAGCCATACAACAGGGGCCTGGGGCCTGGCTTCTTTTACCGAAGCGCGTCCGAGCTTCGCCTGGACGAAGTTTGGTTGCAGTTCGTCCCTTGCGTTGGTGGGCAGCGCCCACGGCACAGATGCCACCATTGGTCCGTCCACCCATGGGCTGAGGACATGGGCGTTTCCATTGTTCTGGGGACTGAATAAAGCTGCTGTAAACATTCACTTGCTGATTTATGTGTGAACACGTTTTCATTTTTGTTGGTAAATCCCTCGATTACCAATTGCTTGGTCATAAGGGAGGTAGGTATGTGTAGGTATGTGTTTAATTTTAGAAGAGACTGCCCAAGGTTCTGGCCGTTTGCACCCGGACCAGCACCAGGTACCCAGGTACCAGTTTTTCTCATGTTTAAACCGAGCCCCTTTCCCGCTGGGCAGCGGTTGGCGCTTGTGTGCGTTTCTCAGGCCCGGAGATGTGTGTGCTCAGCTTCCCCCTGGTGCTCACCCTGTCTGCGTCTGACAGAGCTCAGACCGCCGCCTCTGTTTCTCCCCTTGTTTGGTTCTGAGAGTGCCTTTCTGTGTGCGGACACAAGTCCTTTGTCAGGCGTGTGGCCTGCGAGTCTTTCCCGCACCTTTGTCAAAGCTCCGGTGTGTGGGGTTCTTTGTGGGCTGTGTCTGCCTCTCCAGTGTCGCTCTGGCACTTCCCAGTGAGTTTGAAATCGGGCGGCGAGTCTCCCCGTTTGTCCAGCCCTCTCGCCACTGCCCTGGCTCTTCCAGCCCCTTTCCCTGTCCCTGTGAATTTTACAACGAGCTGGTTGCCATCTACAGAAAAACCTGCTGGGATTTTTATCGGGGTTACCCATTAAGTTTTATCAGTGTTCCCATCTTTTTAGCACAAAGATCCTGTATATAATGGTTTGTTAGATGTAAACCTAGGTATTTCGTTTTCAAGAGTGCTAGTTAAACAGCATTGTTTCTCAGGTTTCAGATTTTATTATCTGTTAGTGAGTGGAAATACAGTTGGTTTTCATATATTGGTCTTGCACCCTGAAATCTCGATGAACTCGTGCTTGTCACCATTCAGGGAGACTTCAGTCATTGTTCTGAGGTGTCCCAGACGTGTCACGGGCTGAGCACCCAGAAGTAAAGGATGACGAGAGCCCTTGGGGGCAGAGGTGGGCGGTGGTGTCCCTGGGTCACAGCGTCTCCTTTCTGTAGTGGAGAAGGATCTCCCGGTGCGCACAGCCCCACGGGAGGCCCAGCGGGATTGATGGGGTGAGGCCACCTGCGTCCCCAGGAAGAAGGTAAGGCGGAACAAGGAGAACTCTAACTCCAGAAACGCTTCACCCGACAGCCAAGGACAAAGGCCCCCTTCCTCCAGCAACGTTAACGGGGAAGACCAGCAGGCTGTCATGCCTCGCGTCCCTGTGGCACTCCGTTCCTCCCGCCACTCCAGCCCGTGGGACTGTCCGGGCCCTGCTGCGGGAGCTCAGAGTGGGGGGCGGATGAGCGCAGACCCGGCTGCGCGTCCCCAGCGCCCCGCCCGCCGGACGGCGGGGAGGTGCCAACCCCTGTTCTCCCGCCGCAGGAAGGAGGTTTCCCGTTTTCGTAACCCGGAGGGCAGACGAGAAAGGGAGATTGACCATATATGGAATTAAAAAAAAAAAAAGCAAGCATTTCATGAAACGAAAAGTATGTTAACACTGCAAAACTAGAGAACACATACCAGGATGCGCTTCCCTTTTCGGATAAACTCCAGAGCTGGCGTGTGCGCCCCGCTCAGATTTGGGGGGCTGGGCGGGCCCGTCCCGGGCGGGGCCTCGTGCAGCGCAAAGCGCTCGGGGCGGGGCCTGCGTTGGGGGCGGGGCCGCCTCCCGGCACAGTCGGCAGGAACCATGGCGAGCTGCGGGGCTCCGGGTGGCTGCAAGGCCCCACGGGCCCTGCACTCGGCGCGGGCCGTGGATGTGGCCTCCGCGTCCAACTTCCGGGACTTCGAGCTGCTGCACCTGCACCTGGACCTGCGGGTCGAGTTCGCGAGCCGCACTCTGAGCGCCATGGCGACCCTGGATCTGCGCTGCCTGGTGCCCGCGGGCGCGGCCGAGCTGCGGCTAGACTCGCACCCGTGCCTGGAGGTCACCGCGGTGGCGCTGCGGCGGGGCCCGCCCAGCCCGGGGCAGCCGCCCGGCCCCGACGAGCCCGTGAGCTTCCGCACCGAGCCCTTCGCGCGCTATGGCTGCGCGCTCTGCCTGTGCTTCTCGCAGCCCCGGCCCGCGGGCGAGCGCTTCCAGGTGCTGCTCACCTACCGCGTCGGTGAGGGGCCAGCGGTGAGTGCTCAGGTGTCGCCCGGGTGTCCCCAGTGGAGGGAGAGGAATAGATCCCATGGCCCACCCCCCAAGGCCCGGAGCCCCAGTGCACCGCGCGCCCCTCCTCCCGGTGTTTGCGGTGACCTGTCCAGCTTGTTGCTCAGTTTCAGTTCCTCCCAGGGACCCGCGTGTCTAGTTTGCATTTTGCCAGACGAGGGAACTTTGCCCTGCACGGCTTTGTGCATAATCCGAACTCTTTATGAATTGGATTGAATGTGCCGGGACGTGGAGGCCCAAGTCCGATCAGTTTCTGCTTTATGGTGGCAGGTGAATTGTCCCCGAGGCCGACTGGGGCCTTTGTTCTGTGTGTCCTCCGTGCCACCGGCGGCGGCGACTCTGAACCCAGATGGTTACATTGGTTTGGTTGTGATTAAGAGAAGTATTTCAGTGAAAGTCAGAACCGCAGTCAGTGCAGCAGGCTTTATAATCACACGGCCTTCTCACCCCTGATTGGCCCCTAAATCTCAAAGGTGGGGGCCAGAGGTGGAAGTCAGAGGGGGGCAGAAAGTCACGTGGCCGAGGACTGTGAGAGCCAGAAACCCCGGCGGAGGTAGAGGCTCTTCCCCAGGACGGGTGGGCCGTGGGTTCCGCAGGACACCGCTTGCCGCTGCCTGGAGTGGGTTCACCCTGCCCGCCCTTTGCTTTTCACTCTTAGGACTGGCTCAAAGGACAGTTCCGAGTCCATCTTTCGTTGCCTGGGGAGTAAATGAACTTGTGATACAACTTGTCTTAAAAATGAAATTCCAAAGCAAGGCAGGCTGACCTCCCTGGCAAAGGGAAAGCCCAGGGCCTCCCCCCCCCGCCCCTCCCCCCCAAAGCATAGGAACAAGTTTGGTTTCTCTTTTGTATTCTGCTCCTGGTTTCTGGCAGGGTCCAGAAGGTGAACAGGAGAACTAGAAAAAGTAAGCCCTCCCCGAATTTACCTACTGAGAGTGGCACCTGGAATTACGTGTCAAAACGAAATGCCAAGCATAAGGACAGAGACTCACACTCCCACGCTTTTAGATGGACCGCCCTGGGCGCCTGGGAGGTCTCCCCGGGCAGCACCTGTATTTGTTTGTTCCTTCTTCTTGCCGCAGTCCCTGTGAGGCCCCCACGCACCTGCCGGGCCGTACCTGTCCCGGACGGCAGGCTCTGCCTCTGGTGTGTGGGCCGCCGGCTCCTTCCTTCCCTGTTCGTTGTGTCATTGAAAACACACCAGCAAAGACGAGTGAGGGGCGAGGGCCCAGTCTGTGTGCCCGAGAGGGAGGGGTCCGTGAGTCGCCTCTGTTGCTTCCCACCGGCTGCTCGGCCTTAGCTTGTGGGGTCAACGCCTTCTATTTTTTTGTTAATAGGATTTATTTACTTTTTTTAAAAAGCAAAAACAGTTTAGGTTAACAGGAAAACTGAGCAGATGTAGTTTCCATATACCCTCTCCACGCAGTTTCGCCTCTGAGCTTTTTGCAAGTATGGATACATCTGGCCCAGTCTGTGCTGCAGCTGTGATACATTGTTACCGGCCGGAGGCTGCAGCCTCTCGGATCCCGGATCCCGGGCGTGTTACTCAGTGTCCGCCTGTGCCCTGGGAGTCTGCCCAGAATGCCACAGTGCACTGCGCGCTCTGCTTGCTGGTGACGGTTTCCCAGACTTCCCTGGATTTCGGTGGCTACGACAGCCTTAAGGCACATGGATCAGGTGTATGGTAGGGCGCCCTCCCTGGGGATTTGCGTGATGTTTTTTTCTCATGGCTGGACTGGGGTTGTGGGTTTTGTTTTTAGAAAACAGACTGTTTTTTAGAGCACTCGTAGGTGTATGACAAAACCGAGTGGAATTGTACAAGGTAGAGTGCCGGCCCCATCCCATGGAGGGGACGTGGTGTGAGTGTGGCAGGTGACTGGTGCCGACCTGGTCGCCTGGCGGAAGGAGGGCCGTCTGGTCTCTGCTCTGACCTTGCTCACCTTCCCCTCTTCCCACCTCTGCTGGACTCTGCAAGGAGGCGCACTGAAAATCTCACACACGCTAAAACAAACACTCAAGCAGAGAAAAGCCCAGCATCCCCCTGTGCAGTCCTGAGGGCCCGCTTCCCTCCGTGCCTTTCCGAGTGGGGCCGCCCAGGACGGCCTCCCCCTTCCTCTCCCGACTCCGAACCCGCTAGAGTGGGAGGCTCAACCCCAAAGTCTTGCCTTCCCTGGGAACTTCCTGGAATTCAGCCCTTTCCTGGACTCTGGACGGCGTTTGGTGCTGACGTCTCCACCGCCCTCACAGCTGCCTATGCCCGTGCTATGCCCGAACTTAATTTCGCTGTGGCCATTCCAGTCGGTCTGCCCGGGGAGGGGGTCACGGAGAGCGAGGAGGGTGGAGGCCAGTGCCTAGGGCATGAGGTGTGTCAGCTCTGAGAGGGTGGGCACCTGCGGACGACAACACACAGGAGCCATAGGCCCCTCCCACTCGGGTCCTGCTTTTCTGTGTCTTTGCTCACAAGTCCAAATACAGCTGCTTCGGTTTTTGTTATCTGGTGAGAAACTACTAGGGAGGAAGACAAGGCGAGGGGGTCAGAGGCCAGGTCTGTAGTGGGGAGGGGCAGACCCACTGAAGTGCCCGCCTGGTGAAGCGGACGCCACACCTGGGCACGCAGGAGAGGCCGGCCCCGCAGAGCCAGACCAGTGGGCAGACATCGTGGGGGTGACCCTGACCCTGAGACTCCGACCAGCCCTTCCTCCCGCCGGGGCTGAGCTGGCGCAAGGGGTTGCCTCTGAAGTGCCTGTGCCTTAGGTCTGCTGGCTGGCCCCCGAGCAGACGGCTGGGAAGGAGAAGCCCTTCCTGTACACGCAGGGGCAGGCGGTGCTGAACCGGGCCTTCTTCCCCTGCTTCGACACGCCTGCGGTCAAGTGCACCTACTCGGCCGTGGTCCAGGTGAGGGTGCGCCGGGGGCTAAAAGTGTTGCTTTTGGGTGGCGAATGGGGACGTCCACCCAGGAAGAACCCCTCCGTCTACAGCAGTGTCGTCTGGCCCCAGCCGGGTGGTTCCACTGGTCAGAGCATCATCCCGAACACCAAAAGGTGGCGGGTTCGAACCCCCGTCGGGGCACGCGCTGTGGGGGAAGGGGCAGCTGGTCGATGTTTCCCTCTCTCGTCGACATTCCTCTCTCTCTGTTCCTCCCTTTCTCTGTCTAAAACCAACAGACGTATCCTCGGGTGGGGATACATCAACAAACACATAATAAATGTTTCCTCTGCGCTGCAGCCCATCAGTTCCGCACGGGTTGGGGTTTCTGCAGCCTTTGGGGCCCAGGGGGACTCGGGTCACTGCCATCTCCACGCAGGACACCGGTCCTGCTGCCCTCCGACCTCGGGACCAGCCGGGTCTCCCGGCAAAGTCTCCTCCACGTTCTCTGCCGCCAGGTGCCCGACGGCTTCACGGCCGTGATGAGCGCGGACGCTTGGGAGACTCGCGGGCCGAGCCAGTTCTTCTTCCGCATGAGCCAGCCCATCCCCTGCTACCTCGTTGCTCTGGCCGTCGGAGACCTGGCGTCCGCAGAGGTGGGGCCCAGGTAGGAGCCGAGGCCCCGCAGGCAGGGTTGGCGTGGGCCCCGTGGCGAGGAGGCCCCGAGCCCAGCGCTGCCGGGTGGGTGTGGGTGTGGGCGCCTCGCCGGGCTCGGTCTGCTCGCTGCCTCCCTCCAGCCAGTCCCAGCGCCGTGTCCGCCGTGGGTCACCTGCCCCGCCAGTCCCGGCTGCTGCCCCGGGTCGCCTGAGGTGAGGGCGGGTCCTCACCAGCCTGTGTGTGTTCTGAGTTCCCTCCCGCAGCTGCATTCACCTCCTTATCTTTGTGCCGAGCCTCCCCTTTTCTCCAGCACTTGATTCCTGAAATACAAGACCTTGACCTCGCGCCTCCCTCTAAAGAGGAAAGTGCCCGGGGCAGTGAGCTGGTGTAGGGAGACAAAGTGACGGTTTTCTGAGTTTCCTGAGAGCCTGGCCAGGACTGGGTTTTTCCTGGCTGCCCCGCTGCCCACCAGCTCGGCTTCTTCCTGGCCTGGGCGGTCACCGGTCGGACAGCAGTGCTTGGACGCTGTCGCCGGCCCTTTATCCGGCTTTTTATCTCTGGTCCTGCTTCCCTTTCCTGAAGGAGGTGGGGTCCCAGGCCCCAGCTGGGCACGTAGCAAGGCCGGGGTCACAGGTCCTCCCTCTGGGGTCTGCAGGTGTGTGCTCAGGGCCCCTCAGAGGCCTTTCCCTCTCTCTCTGCCCCACTCTCCTTAAGCTGTGCTGGGCTTGGCTGTTCTGTCCATTTTCCACCCAGACCCCAACCCTCACTCCACATGGACGACCCGGTCTCCTCTCTGCTGAGCATTTGTCACCTGTCAGATGGGTGACGGTGGCGGTGGCCTGACCTCCACCCCCGGCCTCTCTCCTGGGGACCCTGGTGAGGGTCTGTGCAGAGCCCCCACCTCAGGCGGCTGTTCTGCTCAGCCCTGACCTTCTCCCGTCCACGTACGGGATGAACGCAGACCTGAGCCACAGCCCCGCCTCCACGGCCTTGCGTTCCCACCCCTGGCCCCGTGGCTGGTTTCACGGAGGAGCTGCAGTTCACCCCGGTCCCCGCATCCACCCCACCGGCTGTGTTTGGGTGGGGACCAGCCTCCTGTCCCCTGGTTGCTCTGTCCTGCTCTGTCTGGCTCCACCGCAAGCTGGAGGCTGGTTTTCTTTGGGGGCCGGCCCTGAGCCGCCTTCTCTGTGCGCCCGCCCCCAGGAGCCGGGTGTGGGCCGAGCCGTGCCTGCTGGAGGCGGCCAGGCAGGAGTACGATGGCGTGTTCGAGGAGTTCCTGGCCACGGGAGAAAAGCTTTTCGGGCCCTACGTTTGGGGACGGTGGGTGCACGTCTTCCTCTCTGTCCCCTGGAGCAAAGCTCCTCCATCCCGGGGGTGGGGGGAGGCCTGGGCCAGACCCGGGTCCCAGTGATGAGAAGGGGACCCGGTGACAGTCATCAAAGTGATCAAAACAGCCCCGTGGTTGCCGAGTTCGGAGGTCAGGACCTTCCTGGGTCATCTCTGGTTGTTGGAAGCTGCCGTCCACCCTCCAGTCAGGTCTCCTTTGGCATCTTAGGCTCCTTAGAGAAGTGGCTCCCTTAGATCTCTGTGACCCCCCAGTGGTCACCGGTGCTGCTTAGAAGCAGGACAGGGGATGGAGGTTTTGGGGAGCAAATCTGGGGAAGGGAGTCCCGGTGAGTTGGCTGGGACTGCGGAGCCCGGTGCCATCTCAGCACCAGCTGGCCGGTCATTGGCTGCCTGTCCAGTGTCCGCATCTCCGGGTGGGGAGGGAGGGAGGGAGCGAGGCCGGGTCTGCCTGGCAGGCCTGCGACCTCCCGCCGCCCCCAGGTATGACGTGCTCTTCATGCCGCCGTCCTTCCCGTTCGGAGGCATGGAGAACCCGTGTCTGACCTTCGTCACGCCCTGCCTGCTGGCCGGGGACCGCTCCCTGGCGGATGTCATCATCCATGAGATCTCACACAGCTGGTTTGGGAACCTGGTCACCAATGCCAACTGGAGCGAGTTCTGGCTCAACGAAGGCTTCACCATGTACGCCCAGAGGAGGGTCTCCACCGTCCTGTTCGGTGAGCTGCTCACCAGCCTCTCGGGGCTGTGGGTCCTCGGGGTGGCGCAGACGGGGTCTCAGAAGTAGCCGCTGACCAGTGAGCCACACCTGCTGCTCCGGGGGGGCGAGCCCAGGGCTGTTCACGCAGGAGGTGAGTCCAGCTCCGGAGTGAAGCCTGCGTCGGCACAGCCTCTGCGCGCCCTGCACGCTTACACTGCAGCCCTGCACCGGGTGTGCGGGGAGGACCCACCCACTGGCAGCCTCGCAGCCGCCCGTCGTTGGGGGAGGACGCCGTGCCCGGCCACGGAGCGGGCACAGCAGGCCCCTGAATTGCGCCCAAGTGCCATTAAAACACTTTCTCCGCAGCCTCATTTCAGAAAACCCCCAAGCACTAGATGGTTTAAAAGACAACGTGTATTATTTTCTTGTTTCTCTGATCAAAGTCTATTTTGGCGGATATGGGAAAGCAGAGGAGATGTTTTCCCATAATCTCTGTGCTCGGAGACGACCGGTAGGACCTTGCACGGTGTCCTGTGTTGAGTCCTCAGCCCACAGGAGGCCTTCCAGCGCCTCTTTCTAGCCCCCCCCCCCCCGAAAGCTCCTCCCAGGCCATGTGGCAGCATAGACGGCAGTTTCACAGTCGTTCCCTCCCCTCGTCCAGAGACGGGTTCCCGGTCCCCAGTGAAACGGTGGGCTGGCGAATGCACGCCTCCGTCACCCTTCCCGCCGTCACTTTCAGAGCCTGAGAGAGACAGGGAACCCTTAGAAAAGTTTGGGGTGACGATTTCTCTTGTCTGACGGAACAGTCAGGTGAACATACTGTTTTCGTGGAAGATCAAATTACTGACTCTGGAAATAAAAATGCGTTGATGGGAGAAGGTGCACATCAGAGGACCAGGGGTGGTTCCCCAGCCAGAGCTGCCGGGGGCGGGGGCGAGGGCGAGGGGGTGGTGGGGGCTGGAGGCTCAGGTCTGTCCCCAGATCCCGTGTCTGGCCTCCTTCTGGTGGCCACCAGGGGGCGCTGCTGCCGGCACGGTGGTCTGGAGGTGCTGAGTGTTCTCGAGCCTCTGGTCTCCTGCCCAGGGGCTGCCTACACCTGCTTGGAAGCGGCCACGGGGCGGGCACTGCTCCGCCAGCACATGGACGTCAGCGGCGAGGAGAACCCCCTCAACAAGCTGCGCGTGAAGATTGAACCAGGTGTGGAGGCTCCTCTGGGTGACAGACACCCCGCCCCCCAAGTGCGTGGCGGTCGGTGGGCTCTGAGGACCCCCCTGGGGGGAGCCCAGCCACCCGGCTCTGTGTGTGTCCTTGGGATGGCCCCCCTGCTTGGGGCTCCTGGACTGGGGGTCAGCCGCACCTTGCAGGGGCGGGCGTGAGCGCCAAGCCGGCTGGTGGCCTGCCCAGGCCCTGGGCTTTTTCTCCCATTTGAGTCCCCTCCTCTCCACGTGTGACCGGCACTGGCCCTGCATGGAGCTGAGGTTCACGGTCCTTGTTGCCGTGGGCTGTGAGGGCGAAATTCTCATGGATGGGACTCTCAAATGAGGCTAGGACGTCGTAGGGTGTCCATGGCTGGGAGGGGTGGGCGGTGGGCTGGCGGCCACGGGCTGGGGGGGCGGAGCCCGCACCCACGCTGGTCCTGGGCGAGGAGCCAGAAGGCCCGCATCTGGGTCCTCCTGCCCAGTCCCTTTGTCGGCGCGAGGGAGGCCAGGGTGGGTCCGGCATTCAGCCCTCGGGGCGGCTGCACCGACCGCTCCTGCTCCACGGTGAGTCTGGGCCAGAGGCCCGCTGTGCAGGTGACCGGTGTCTGCCCCCCTGCCAGGTGTGGACCCGGACGACACCTACAACGAGACCCCCTACGAGAAGGGCTTCTGCTTTGTCTCCTACCTGGCTCACCTGGTGGGCGACCAGTGTCGGTTTGACGAGTTTCTCAAGGTATCCACTGCCCAGCGGGCGAGGGGGCGAGCAGGTGGGCACCGGCACCGAGGGAGGGTGTGGAGGAGGCCCGAGGGTCTGAGGAGACCTCCCTCCGCTCAGGCCTATGTCCGCGAGTTCAAGTTCCAGAGCATCTTAGCAGAGGACCTCCTGGACTTCTACCTGGAGTACTTCCCTGAGCTGAAGCAAAGGAGGGTGGACTCTATTCCTGGTGAGCGGAGGGCAGGCCCACAGGCTGGAGGGGCCGCTGGGGAACGTGGCCTCCAAGGTCCCCAGAAGTGGCTCTCAGGAGCAGACCCAGGGCCCAGGCTCTGGGCCACAGAACCCCACCACCTCCTCCCTCCTGCGGGACTCCTCCTTGAACTGGGACCCCAGGCCCACACCCTGGCTCAGCCCTGGAGCCCGGGGTGGGGGGGTGGGCACAGAGTCTCCTTGTGCGGCCTCCCTAGCAAAGGGAAGCCCCAGCGCTGCCCCGGGGAGTGGAGACCACCCCGTCACAGATGAGGGCCCGCTAGACACGGCCCCCTTCGTGCCGTGGGCCCTGAGTCACCCTTCAGGGGTTTGGTCCCGGTCTCAGCTCTCGGGCCTGCATTTCAAGGCCGAGAGCCTCGGTAGCTAATAGAGTGAGTAATGACCGTGAATGGTAATGTCTGCCCCGGCCGGTTAGCGAGCGTGGCTGCTCCTCCCCACTGCGCCCACACCAGGGGAGCAGAGGTGCCAGAGGCAAGGCGCCGAGCCCAGGGGCAGCCCAGGGCCCGCACTCGAGTCTCGGCCCCAGGCTGTGGCCGCGCTGGTCCTCATGGCTGAGACAGCGCAGGGACCATGTGCAGCAGGCAGGGCTCCGTGGAACCGGGCACAGCCCTCTGACCTCCCTCTGACCTCTCGGTCGGCACAGAGACCCCGGGCGCTCGGCACTGGGTGCAGAGTGCGGGGCTGGCGGGGAAGGTGGGGAAGGTGTCAGGTGCAATGCTGAGCTTCTCACTGTGTCCTCCCTGCAGGGTTGGAGTTCGATCGATGGCTGAACACCCCGGGCTGGCCCCCATACCTCCCGGACCTGTCCGCCGGAGACTCGCTCATGAAGCCGGCGGACGAGCTGGCCCAGCTGTGGGTGGCCGAGGAGCTGGACATGGAGGCCATCAGGGCCGTGGACATCTCCACCTGGAAGACCTACCAGCTGGTGTACTTCCTGGACAAGCTCCTGCAGAAGTCCCCTCTGCCGCCTGGTGAGAGTGTGGGCGGCTTCTCCGAGAGGTGGACGGGGGCTCCCGGGTGCGCAGTTCTGTGTGGGGCCAGGAGGCTCCAAGAAAGAAGCAGGGACACTTGCCCTGAGTGACGGCCGGGGGTCCGGGAGGGTGGCCGATGAACACGGCACCCTGCAGGGAATGGAGGCGACACACAGGGGTGCCTCGGGGACCAGGTCACCAGCCGGCGTGCGTCCAGGCCTCGGGCCCTGCCTGCTGTTCTTGGCTCATGAGTCAGCTGACCCGCCCACCCTGGTGCTCTGTAGGGCGGGCGCCCTCGCTCTCATCCCCAGAACACGGACTCGGGTCGGCTGGAGAGGCCGAGCCGAGGCGGCCCCCATGGGGAAGGCCCTGAGCCGTCCGTGCTGCTGCCCCTCAGCCGGGCTCATAGGCGCCCAGCCTCTGCGCAGAGCAGGGAAGCCGCAGAGACTCGGGCTGGGGGCGGGGTGGGGCGGGGTTCGGGCGCATGCCTGCCGCAGTTGGGAGGAAAGCAGGGAGCCGCAGGGGGTCTGGGGCGCCATCTGCCCAGGGGCGTTTGCTGCCTGAGCCCCCAGGATCGAGGCCACGGCGAGGATAGGACATTGGCGCTGTCTCCCGGCAGTGGGTGGGCAGGACGAGCGCTGAAGTTGGTGACCCCCCTGAAGGTGCTCTCAGAGCCGGGGTTGATACACGTCCTGGGACGGGACCCAGGCTCGCCGGCAACACCGACGATAGCCATCTCCATGCCAGACCAGTGGGGGCGGGGGGATGCCAGGGGCGCTCACTGCGTAAGGTAGGAATGCCTAAACGCCGAAAAGCAGGGGGTGGGCGTCAGCTGTCCTTGGAAAATGGAAAACCAGTCGCCCAGCAGCCACTTCCTCTCCCAGGGAATGTGAAGAAGCTGGGAGACACGTACCCGAAGGTCTCAGACGCCGGCAATGCGGAGCTGCGGCTGCGCTGGGGCCAGATTGTCCTGAAGAACGACCACCAGGAGGACTTCGGGAAAGTGAAGGGCTTCCTGCAGAGCCAGGTGGGCAGCCCTCCGCATCCCCGGGCCCCAGGGGCCCTCAGCGCACTCAGGGTCCTGCGGGGAGCTGGGCCTCACACCCATCTCTGGAGCAGAGGGCAGGTGACGTGTGGCCATGCTGCCCTGGTGGGTGAAGCCAGTCGGAGCTCACCCCAAACTGGAGAAGGGGTGACGCGGTTGCCGCCCTTGGAGTGAGGCCAGAGGACGAGACAGAGTGACCGTGAGGTCATAGAGCCCACTCCCCGGGAAGTCCGTGCCTTGGAGAGGTTCTGACAGCCACTGCATCTCTGGTCACCCCTGGGAGCTGCCCTGCTGGGGACGGGCCAGAGCCCCCTGGGGGACCGTGCTCGACCCCAGAGCAAGGTGGGGGTTCTAGGGGCAGAGCTGCGCTGGGTACCCCGGCCCTGCAGTGGCGGCCACACCCCAGCTTGGAGGTCCCAGCCTGCGAAGTCTCTGCCAAGCCTCTGGGTTTGGGGGACTGGGGGGTCTGCATATTGGGGCCCTGGGCTGGCTTCTGCTCAGCGGCAGTGGGACCTTCCGTGTTCTTGGCTTTGTGCGGAGCCCCTGGTGGCCACCCCCTGGTGGCCACCCCCTGGTGGCTTTCCAAGCAGGTGGAGCCACTGGTTCTGTTAGGCGTGCACCCCTGTCCTGCCGTGGGTCAGGGGAGTACTGGCACCTCTGTGGGGGACCTGTGGGCACCTGCCCACCACCCCAGGACAGACCCTGGTGGGCCACATGGGCCGCGCATGTCTCTTGCAGGGGAAGCAGAAGTACACTCTCCCGCTGTACCGCGCGATGGTGGCCGGCAGCCCGGCAGCCCGGGCCCTCGCGGAGGAGACCTTCGCGGCCACCACCGCCCAGCTGCACGGCAACGTCGTCCGCTACGTCCAGCAGATCCTGGCGCCCGCGGGCAGCTAGAGGCCCATCCATCGCTCGGCCTCGGCCTCTCCACCCCTCACAGGCTCTCGGGACACTTGGCCCTGTGCCGGCGCCCGCTCTGCTCCCCAAGCTTGTGTCCCTCAGGGGTCTGACCCCCTGTGCGGTGTCTGTGACTCCTGGGAACCCTCTGGGCCCCCCAGAGCAGGGACCCCCTCAGTCCCGGCTCTGTGGGGTAGGGCCACCCTGCCCCCCACCCAGGCATCAGTAGGGGGGTGGGGGATCCTTCTGCTTTGCCGGCTGAGTCTTGAAGGGCGGTGCCAGTGGCTGCACTCGGTGGTTCTCTTCTCAGGTCTCCTCTCTTTTAATAAATCTTTGTACCTGAAAACTGACTGACTCAGGGGTTGAGTGACAGGCTTCTTCCCCCAGGTGGCCCCTGCGCACACATTCTGAGATGGTCACAGGCCCCAGAGCATGAGTGTCCCCTGCCCTTGGACTGCTCCTGGCTGTGGGAGGCGCGGGTCCCCCAGTGTGGCGGTCACACTCGGGGGATAAAGTGTGCACGTGAGCAGTGCCGGTCCCTGCCCGCCCCCCGGCACCGTTTTCCGAGTCCTCTCCAGGGCTGAGTGTGAGTGTGGGCCCTGATCCCGCTGAAGCCTTCTCCCAGGCCCCTGAACTGGGACACCAGTCACAGCGAGGCTCCCAGTCGCGCCCCGGCTTCAGCGAGGGGGTCTGCGCAGCTCATGAGTCCGCTGTGAGGAAAAACTGGGACAGCTGGACTAGTGTAATCCATAAAGCATGTAGCTAAAGGTTTTATTTATATTTTAGAGGGGTAGGGAGTAGAAAGTGAGAAACATCAATGTGTCATTGCCTCTCACACGCCCCCTGCTGGGGGACCCGGCCTGCGACCCAGGCAACCCTGCCCTGCAGTTCCCACAGGCCCTTGGCCAGCGGAGGGCACAGCCCAGCGCAACACGGACGTGTTCTCACTCTTAGCAACAGCGAGCGAGCGAGTAGTGTGGCCGCGGGACACGGCAGGTCGGGCAATGCCTCTGCCCACACACAGCTTCACCAGAGGTGAGGGGCCTGGGTCTCTTGGGGGCAGTGAGCAGCAGGTGGGCTCCCCGCTCCCCAGCTCGGGTCCTGCCCCTTGGCCCGAGAGGGTGGCTCTTCGTCGGCGTGAACCCTCCCGTATCGGGTCGCAGGAGCTCTTCCTCTGACAGCAGCTCTGACTGTGGCTTCTGGTGCCACAGCGGGCCCACCCCCTCACCCCCGCCCCCGTCCCCTGGCTGTCAGGGCCGGGGACCGTGCTCTCGACAGTCCCTGTGCTGCCCCCACCCGCAGCTCCTCTGGCCTCCGTCCCGGGAGCCTCTCCCCTGGCCCTGCCCAGCGAGGCACCGACCGACCTCCAGCCTGGTCTCCCACACAGCTTCGGAATACGGGTGGGCACCAACGTGCGAGGCCAGGAGCCGGCCCGTCCTGCCCCTTCGCTCCGCCCATTATTCCACAGAGCCCCTTGAAGGCAAGGGCGCGCGTCTGTCTCCTTCCCTTTGTCCTTCTGTCCTCCCTGCTCAGAGCACGTGAGCAGCCGGGCTGGAAGCAGGTTCTCCTGCATTCCAGGCCGAGTGACTCAGTGGAGGGTGTGCCTGGCCCCGGGCTTTGTGGGGGAGGCACCCGCAGGGCTGGGAAAATCCAGAGCCCCGTGGGGGCAGCACCCCAACCCCTCCCCTGGGCACCCACAGCTCCCATCATCCCAGGAAGGGCGAGAAGCAGGTCCCCTCGGCTGGACTCTCTGCACTCGGGCTGCAGAGTTAGGGGGTGGCTCCAAGGTGGGGTCACCTTCCCTCCCAGCAACCTCACCGCCAGAGGCTGCCCTTGGCCACAGGCCACCTGGGGCCCGGGCCCTGACTGAGGAGGTGGGGAGGCCAGGGCTCTCGGCCTCCACCATGGGTGCAGGAAGACTCGGGTCAGGGCTGGTTTAGTCGAATGTCCTGGCTTGTACAGGTGGGGACAATGAGGAGCAGAATCACAGAATTGGGGAGAGACCAGAGAATGGGCCTCTTGCCTTCGTCCCTCCCCCTACGTGCCGACCCCCCCAGGGTCTGTGTTTGGGGCTGAGTCCCTAGAGAGGCCCACAGTCCTGGGCCCCTGGGCATCTCAGAGTCACTGGGCGCTGAGAGAGATCTGGCACCGAGACAGGTGCAGGGCCGACAGTGGCTGGAAACCCCGCCCCCCCTTCCGTACGCAGTCCCGTGAGGCCCGGGTTCCGAGTGGCAGCCTCTCGTCTGCAGAGTGTGGACACGGTGCCTGCGTACAGGGCTTTGCGAGGGTTCACGGGGACTGTGGGGAATGGGAAGTGGATTCTGAGTCTTCCCTTTTGCTGGGAGGCAGTCGGGCTCTGACCACTAGGGGACAGCAGACAGCGCAGGTGAGCAGTGGTGAGCGGAGAAGGGGTGGTAGACCAGGGAGACCAGGGAGACCAGGTGGAGGAGCACACGCAGCCTGGGGGTCCCCACACCATCAGCACCCAGGCGAGCAGGGCGCGCTGTGGGGAGCCCACTCTGTCCGGAGGTGCTCCGGCAACCCTGACGCTTGGATGAAGCCCCACAGGCAGAGAAGGCCAAGTCCTTGCCATCCAAGCAGGTGCCAGCAGGCTGGTACTAAGGCTGGGGACAGGGGGACATGGGGCCCGGGGCTAAGCTGGCAGGTCCCCGAACGGTGCCGTGGTGAGAGCCCTCTCGCTGGGGTCCCAGACGCCTGAGCTGTGGGGTCTTCTCCCCACCAGGCCCCCTCGTCCCCAGATCTCCAGACGCTAGCTCCCACAGCACCCTCCCCCTCGCCAGCCCCTCCCTGACCTGCCCCCACCCCCTGGAGGAATTTTCTGAGCCTGAGGGTGGTGGAAAATACAGGACCCCCACCCACCCAGTGACCCTCCTGCCACCTGCCCTGGCCAGCGCCAGGTGCCCAGCCCTAGAGGGTGCGGGAGGACCATCTGACAATCATTAAACCAGCTGGGCCTGATTTCCCAGCACCCCAGGTAGGACCTGGGCCAAGCGGCACAAAATATGCAAATCACCTGGGCCTGGGAGCCAGTCTGAAGGCCAGGAAACCCCCTCTGTCCAATGAGCGGCCAGCTCAGGTTGCGGCTATAAAGGCCTAACGGGAGGAGCTCCGGGGCCTATTTAGGGCGGGCAGGAGCGCGGACCGCGCAGAGCTTTGCCTCCTGGGTTTCTGGCGCCTGCTGCCCCTTAATCCTGCCCGTTCAACTGCCACACCTGCACCGCCTCTTTGGTAGGTCCCCCGCCACCGTCACGCGCCTCAGCCTGGGCTGCAGAGACAGGGGTTTGCTGTTCTGAAGTGTCCCACGGGGGTGTGTAGTGAGGTGGATGTCCTGAGGGTCCGAGAGACGAGGGACCCTCCCTGGGAGGGACAGGGTGGCTGTGCCTCACCCAGCCCCACGCAAGGGCCCAGGAGACGGAGGAGGGAGCCCACCAGGAAGCCAGGTGTCCCCCCGGGGTTCTGAGGACCCCACTTAGAGGTGGGGTGTCTGGAGACGGGGCGGGGGGGGAGCTCCGTGCTCCGGGGAACGCCTGCCCCGCTTCGGCAGGCCCGTCATCAGCCGGTCCCTTCAGGTAACCCCATGGCTGCAGCCTGCGAGATCAGCAACGTGTTCAGCAACTACTTCAGCACCATGTACAGCCCCGAGGACCCCGTGCTGGCCCCCGGCCCGCCCGACTCCGCCTTTGGGGCCGAGGACCTCGTGCTGTCCCTGAGCAACCCCCAGATGCCACCAGAGGGCCCTGGTGGGTCTCGAGGGGAGGGGTGATGGCGGGCTTGGGGTGGGGGGGCGCCTGGGAAGCCAGGGAGCCAGGGGTCGGGCAGGGGGAGGGTCTGGGCCCGGTTGGGACTTGCCGGAGGTCCAGGGGCTGGGCATGGGGCAGTGAGCCTTGTCCCAGAGGGCTGGCTGTGGCCGGCTGACCCTCCGCTGTGCCTGGCCCTTCTAGAGAAGGCCAGCTGGTCCCGGGAGCAGCCCCAGTTCTGGTCCAAGGCCCAGGTTCTGGACTGGATCAGCTACCAGGTGGAGAAGAACAAGTTCGACGCCAGCACCATCGACTTCTCCCGCTGCGACATGGACGGCGCGGCGCTCTGCAGCTGCGCCCCCGAGGAGCTGCGGCTCGTCTTTGGGCCTCTGGGGGACCAGCTCTACGCCCAGCTGTGGGACCGCAGTGAGTGTGGCCCCTGTGCCCAGGGTCCCCTCGCCGTGAGGGGGGCTGGTCCAGAGCTTGGCCCCATTGTCCCGGATCAGCAAGGCAGCGGGAAGGACTGGAGCCCCAGGCCAGGGCCACTGAGGGTGAGGAGGGCCGGGCAGCTGGGCACTGACTCCTCCATCCCTCCTCAGCTTCCAGCTTTCCTGACGAGCTCAGCTGGATCATCGACCTGCTGGAGCAAGACAGCATGTCCTTCCAGGAGACCCTGGGGGACGCAGGCCCCTTCGGTGAGCACCCATGTTCCCACTGCCCCCCCAACACCTGTCGCCCCAGCTGGAAAGGTCTGCAGGTCACCCATCACACATCTGGGTGGCCGTCCCCATCCCTGTCCCTGCCCAGCCTGAACACTGGCCTCTTTCAGACCAGGGAAGCCCCTTCAGCCAGGAGACGCCCGAGGGCCGGCAGCAGCCCAGCCCCTACCACCCGGGCAGCTATGGCGCAGGGGCCCCATCCCCGGGCTGCTCGGAAGTCTCCGCCGCAGGTGAGGGCGCGCCTTCCCACCACCTACCCCTACTGCCCCAAGCCCTGGCCCCCAGCTCTGGGGGGGGTGGAGTGGGGCTGGCCAGCAGCCTGTGTGGGCAGGGGTGGGGCTGCAAGGGACTCACCAAGACCCGCCTCCCCAGGGACTGGCGCTTCCCAGGGCTCCCCCTGCTCGGACTCTGGGGGCAGTGACGTGGACCTGGACGCCCCCGACAGCAAGCTCTTCTCCAGGGGTGAGTGTGGGGTGGGTGTCACCGCAGGGGCGCCGCCCTGCCCTGCACCCCCCTCTCCCCCTCCTGACCCTCCCTGCGCCCCGCAGACTGCTTCCCTGACTACAGGAAGGGGGACCCCAGGCACGGGAAGCGGAGACGGGGCCGGCCCCGGAAGCTGAGCCGAGAGTCTCGGGAGAGCCCGGGCAGCAAGAAGAGCAAGCACGGTGGGCACCGGGCACCGGGCACCGAGGCTGGGGGGCGGGGCTGCTGGGGGCAGGCCTCGCCTGGCCTGCGCTTTCTGCACTGTCCCTGCCCCACTCAGGGCTCCCTGTGGCTGACTGTCACCAGCTGCTGGCCTGTTAGCTTTCTAACTGTGGCCCACTGACCACTGGCAGCCTGGCAGTCACGCCTGCACCCCGTGTCCAGACTGTGAGCCAGCCCTGCACACGGCATTCGCAGGCGTGTGCCGAGACACAGGGCCTGCGGGCCGGGCAGGGACACGGCACTGGGGGGCAGGGCACTGGGGGCCAGCGCCCTGGCCGCTGCTGACGGCTCCGCCTTGCAGCCCCCAGAGGCACCCACCTGTGGGAGTTCATCCGGGACATCCTCATCCACCCCGAGCTGAACGAGGGCCTGATGAAGTGGGAGAACCGGCAGGAGGGCGTGTTCAAGTTCCTGCGCTCGGAGGCCGTGGCGCAGCTGTGGGGCCAGAAGAAGAAGAACAGCAGCATGACCTACGAGAAGCTGAGCCGGGCCATGAGGTGCGGGCCCGGGCGGGGCCCCAGCGTCCTGTCACTTAGTGTCATGAACGGTGGCCTGGAGGACGCGGGCGGCCACACGTACGGGCCCAAGGAATGTCCAGCAATGCCTCTGTGTGGCCTCGAGGCTCGTCCCAGCAGAGGCCGTCCGTGGCCAGTGACCCAGCATTTCCCACAGCCGCCCCTGCTGCTGCTGCTGCTGCTGCTGCTGCTGTTGCTGCTGCAATAGTCAGGCTGCTTGTCTCCCGGCCTCAGTTTCCCCTTCATCTTCACTGAGGTCCCTTCCCTCCCTGAAGTCATGTGGCTTCACAAGCCCCGGGCCGCAGCCTTAGGCACAGAGAAGAAAAGCACATGGTCCCTGGGGTGGGAAAGTTCGTTCTGGGACAGAAAGTGTGCCAGGCCCAGGGAGGGGGGCCCGACCCCAGGTCGGTCACCTGTGGGCCCCGCTGACCCCGTATCTCTTCAGGTACTACTACAAACGGGAGATCCTGGAGCGGGTGGATGGCCGGCGGCTCGTCTACAAGTTCGGCAGAAACTCCAGCGGCTGGAAGGAGGAGGAGGTAGCCGGGAGTCGGAACTGAGGGCCCAAGGGGACCGAGACAGACGCATAGACTTGAGGCCGGTGGCCCCTCTCCAGAGGACTGCTGGGCTGCGGGGGAAGCTGAGGCTCTGCAGTCTCCACAGCTACCTCCCCGTGGATTTACAAGCCCAGGGTTCGAAGTGACTTGTCCACCAGCGATGCTACAAGTGTGGCTCCTTCGGCGCTCCGGACGCCCGACCCAGACCCCGGCTGCAGATACCCACAGGTGCCTGGACGGAGGCCAGGAGGCCCAGGAGGCCCAGGGCGCCGTGAGCGAGGGGACAGGGCCCTGCGCCTTGTTGCTGGACCGGGTTTCAGTCCCTACCAAAGCTTGGGCTCCGCAGGCGGGGGTCAGAGCGCCCCCTAATTTATGTGCTATAAATAGGGCAGATGTACATAGAGATCTATTTTTTCTAGGACATTCCCCTGACTGGTCCTGGCCCTGGACTGGGCCTGGGAGGGGCGAGGGTGCCGGACGCTCAGGGCGGGGCCCCGGCTCCTTCCTCCCGATTGGAGGCAGAGATCTACCTCCAATAAAGTGCCTCCTGGGCTGTTTGTAACCTTTGTCTTAACTCCCTGGATCGAATAAGGCCAGGGTGTGGTCCGGGTCCGGGAGACCGGGTCTGTGGGTCAGCCTGCCGCTCCAAGCAGGGGTGGAGGCGGGTGTGGAGGGTGGGGATCCTGGAGCTGTGGGGAGGGGTGAGGAACACCCCTGGGGGGGCTGGGAGGGGAAGAGAAGGGACCCTGCTCGAGGGCGCAAGCCCTGCAGGCCAGGTGGGCTGTCCTGCCAAAGAGCTCGTTGGGAGGCAGGGCTCTGGCCAACATCCTTGACAGCCCGAGTCGGCCTGTGTCAGCCTGGAAGAGGCGCTTCTGCACTCTGGCCGAGAGCTGAGTGCCTGAGATACGATCTGTTTTTGTTGTCTGATGCGGAATCGGAGTGAGGACCCCGTGCCGGGTAAAGCAAGCACAGGCAGAGGGGACTTGAGGAGGGGGAGGAGGAGGAGGGACAGGAGGAGCTGGCAGTTTGGAATATTCCAGGCAGTGGGCCTCAGCGACCCTCAAGGGTCCTCGAGAGACCCTACAAGGGAGCTGCATTGCGCCCACTTCCCAGATGCAGGAGGTGAGGCTCAGGACCAGGGGCCTGCGAAGGCCACACAGGCTGAGCCACGTGCTCCTGCAGCTCCCTGGGGACAGCTCCCAGGCTCAGCCCCCGTGACCTCATGCTCAGCAGGTCCCGGAGCAGCGGGACAGTGCCCCCAGGCTGCACACAGGGCCCTTCTCTGCAGGTCCCTTCTGAGGAATGGCCCCCTGTGGGAAGTTCCAGAGGTCTGAGGCGTCAGATTCAGAAGTCTGAAACGCCACTTAGTTGTCTCAGAAATGCCAGACTGTTCCATGAAGGGACGTGGGAAAGGAAGGGAGGGCCCTTGGGAGACCACGAGTGTGATGTGGGGGAGGGGCTTGTGTGCCGAAACAAGAATGGTCTAGACAGCAGTGGGGTCGTGGGAGGTCATAGGATGAACGCCCGCCGCTGTCGGGAGGGAAGGTGTGTCCATCTGAAGCATGTGATTGGTTTCGGAGGTGATGGGCGAGGGTATGGGCTTCACCCCAGACACCCCTGCTCCCCCCGTGCGGCCAGGCCCTGTCCCGGGTCTTCTGCTCTAAGGGGCGCCGGCCGTGAGGCCGCTGGACGTGTGCGCGGGAAGGAGGGCCCTCGGCCAGAGAGAGGCGCCGCCTGCTCCAGCCGACCTTTGTCCTGTTGCAGTTTACGAGCTGCTCTCCTCAGCCTGTTATCGCTTCGGGTCCACACCACAGCCCTGGAGGAGATGGGGGACCCGCGTCCCTGGTGGGGCCGGTCCAAGGTCACCAGGCAGGTGGAGAGGGGACCGGAGCCCAGGACTCTTGCCTCCAGGTGGGCAGTCAGGGGCACCTGTTTCTTCCCCAGACGTCTTTGCCCCGAGTTGCTCCGTGCGACCCCGCGGAGCCGGCACGCACCTCTGGCTGGCTTTTCTCGCCCTGTCCTGGGGGCCTGCTCTGCTGGGTGTCAGCCACCCCGGCCCCAACCGCCACTAGCTCAGGAGCTCCCGCAGGCTCGGCCCCCCTCTGCTGGGACAGCCTGTCCCTGGGTGTGGCCAAGCTGTTTCGGTCCTGCCTGGAGCAGCTGGTCACCTCTTATCTGCTTCTGTGGAATCGGGTGCTGCTGGGCAGGCCTCAGGGAGGTCACCCCGCCCGGGGTGGGGTGTGCCTGCCCAGGCCTCCCGGGGCAGTTCCCGGAGGTCCGCCCCCACCCCCGGCCCTCCACCCAGCTCCAGAAAACTGGCTTCGCCTGCTGTCTCCTGGGCGAGGCGGCAGGGTGGCTGTATTTTCTGGGGGGTTCGTTTCAGCCTATCCTCTTCTTCCAGTGACCCGTCCACACAGCTCTCCCCCTGACCAGCTGCCCGCAGGGGGCCCACTCACCTCAGCCCCTCGCCCAGGGCCCAGCCCAGAGCGATCCCTTGACAAATATTTGTTAAACAGCTGGCTAACAGCTCTCCTTGCACACACACTCACACACATACCTCACACTTCACAGTCACACACTGCAGTCACACAGACTCACATGTACACACCACACACTCATGCACACCCACACAGCTCACACTCACACACGCAGCCTCCCCCCCCAGCTCCCTGCCCTTTACTGACCTGCTCATCCCCTCCCAGGGGCCTGTGTCCCGGCCGCCCCTCCCATCAGGACCTGGTGCAAAATGCAAGCACGGGCCCTTGTGAGAGATGAACAACTCTGGAACGTACGCCAAGCCCAGGGCCCTCCGTGTGTGTCCTGAGTGTGAGGGCCCAGGTTGCTCCCTGACCCTCGAAGGCCACCCAGCTGTCTCTGGCCGCTGGCCTTTCAGAGCTCACAGAGTCCACCCTCCCGCCCCCCACATTCTTCTGCAGGAACCTGGGCAGTCATGAAAATAGGAATGGTCGGTGCCAGCATTTTAAAAATTGGGAAAATTATCAGAGAATAACATGGATTTGTGGCTTTTCTTCAGAAATCCAAAGATCTGGAACCCGGTCAGCCCCTTCCATGGGCGGGGGGGCTGGGACGGTGGCCAGAGCCCCCGGCACTAGGGCCCTGCCAGACCCCCTGGGGGCCCCCGTGCAGTGTGGGGCTGCCACAGGCACTCACCCACTGGCGCAGCGTGACGGCCTCCTGGAGGGCCACAGTGGCTTAGTGCAGAGCACCCAGAGGCCACCGCCGGCCAGCAGCCAGTCCCATCCAGCTACCGCCATCCTTGACAGAAGCTGTACCACTGGGTGGTGGCTCTTGCTGGCATCTTCCCTTTCCCTGTCTGTTTGTGAGAAGAGCAGACCCTCAGTCCCTTGACTGTCCACCCGTGAACCGTGGGTCAGACTACCAATGGGCAGACGAACGTGCCCATTTTATAGGTGGGCAAACTGAGGCTCAGAAGAGGCAGGCGACTTGCTCAAAGCCACACAGCAGGCCCCATATGAAGCCCCGACTTGGTGCCAAGCAGTGTGCCAGGCCAGTGACCATGCAACATTCGCCGGTTCCCTCTGGAAGTGTTTGCTGCATGTCTGCCGTGTGCCTGGCTCCACACCCGTGCAGGGGGCCTGGGAGGGCAGAGGCCACGGAGCGGGGCAGGGAGACTCGGCCGGAGCCTGGGACGTCCCAAAGATGTCTGCGTAAACCTCCCCATGAGGCTGCAAGGGAGGACGCCTGCTCACCTCGTCCATGAGGGACTGGGGCTTCACAGAGTGTGGGAAGCAGCTCCGGCTTTCAGAGCCGGTCCGTCCAGGACACCTGGACCTGAACCCTGGCGGCACGGCCCCCTTTCCTCAACCCCACCACCGACCCTGCTGCGTGAGACTCTGAGCAGCGAGCGACGCAAGTGCCCCCTGCTGCCCAATATCTGAAACCATCACCAACTGTGCCTTTGAGAAGTGCCCACAGCCAGAGACAGACAGACAGATGTGCTTGGGGCGATGGTCCCATTCTATTGGATTCCTGGGGACTCCTTGAGTCTTTGGGGGCAGGAAGGAGGCTTTCGTTTCTGAGATCGACGTAGGGCCTTCTCTCGGGGGCCTGGCCTCCTCGGCTTGTGCACCCTGTCCCCCTGCCCCTCCTCCCCTGTCCCTGTCCCCTGCCCCCTCCTGCTACGTGCTAGGCTGGGCCGGGGCAGCAGCAGCAATTAGCCCAGCTCCGCCTCAGCCACCGGTTACTGGAACCTTCCTGTCAACTCTGGAGCCCGTCCAAGAAGCCACGCCCAGCGGCCCCGCATGACTCAGCCTCACCTGCCCAGCTCCACACCTGCCACCCGCCACGACCCAGGCGCAGCACCCAGGGGAAAGTCCCAGGATCCTTTGTCCACCTTCATCGTCTATACCAGTGTCTGCAAGGCATGCTGGGATGTGGCAGGCTTACATCACCGGCCTGGGCTCCGCTGGTTTCTAGCCCAGTGGAGAGCCGGCAGCTGGCACAGGCTGGGCTCAGACAAGGAGAGCGTTGAGGAGAACCGTTTGCAGAGGGAGCAGCTGCGTGGGGGGTGCTGACTTCGTGCATCGGACTGGCGAGGGGTGAGAAGAGCGCCCCACTGTCCATCTGCAGCTGCGGGGGGCAGGGAGGGGCTCGCGCCGCCCCCAAGCCCCTGCCCCTGCTCCGTGTGCGTTCAGAGACCCTTTCTCAAAACAGCGGGCGCGTTGTTCAGAAGCCTTAAAAAGCCTGTGGGGGGTGGGTAAGGGGGACAAGTGGTAACGGGAAAAACACAATAAAAAATATGGCTGTGTAAAAAAAATGCACAAGCATCTTTTCCCACCGCAGTTTCGTGTCTGAGAAAATGTATTTCCCCAGAGAATTACTGGACAGGGCACGGAGGACGCGGACTGGGGCTCCGCGGGGCGGCGATCGCGGGCAGGCACACGGCAGCACCCACAGCGTGAGCCCGAAGCGAGCCTGTGGCAGTGACCGCCACGGACCTGCGGCCCCTGGCGGGCAGGCCGTATCCCTGACACGGGATCCCGCGCGGGAGAGAGGCACAGCGTGCTCCCTGGGCCCAGAATCCCCCCACGTCTGTCAAATGTTAGTGGTTGTCTCTCGGTGGGGTTGTGAAAAATAACTGCATACTTTTTGGGAAAAAAAAAAAAGATTGTATCCATATGACTATGAAAAAAGTGAACCGTTTCCCAGTTGAACAAATAAAAGGGTATCAACAGAATTAGGAAATGCTGCTGCCACCCTAACTATTGTGACTCAGTGGCCTGAGTGCTGACCTGTGAACCAAAGGGTCACTGGTTCGATTCCCAGTCAGGGCACAGGCCTAGGTTGCAGGCCTGGCCCTGGTTGGGGGTGCACGAGAGGCAACCACACACTGATATTTCTCTCCCTCTCTTCCTACCTCCTTTCCCTTCTCTCAAAAAACAAACAAAATATTTTTAAAATATATTTTATTGATTATGCCATTACAGTTGTTCTATTCCCCCTTTCATTCCCCTCCACCCTACCCCCCTATCCCCACCATTACCCTCCCTTTAGTTTATGACCATGTGTCTCAAGT